GCACCGCCTTGTTCTTACATTTTGGTGCTGAAACCTGGGACGGGACGTTGGTAGCCTGGATGATCCCCAGCACAGACCACCCTTACCACCTGGGAAGCAGTGGGCTGCAGCAGCTCGCCGGGCTAACTCCCAGATTCTGGGTGGACTGTGGTTTGGGTTGATTGGCCGGCTCCAACCTGTCCCAGATCCCTTTCTACCTGCAAACCAGAAGGTAAGAAATTTCTCCCTCCCCTCTCCGTTGGCCCTCCAAATTTTAGGCACCCTCACTCTCCCTTTCTCACACTTTCTTTCCTTCCCTATTCTCCCTTATTCTTCCACCTATATTTGCTACCGGGTGGCCCGCCCATCTCGTTCTCATCTCAAAATTCACCGAGTGGCCTGCCTGTCTCGCTCTCATCTCAAAATTCTCCCTTATTTTTCCACCTATACACGGTTTCGAGTTTGACTTACCCCTGTCTACCAAGTGGACTGTTCATCTCGCTCTCATCTCGAAATCTAGGTACCTAGTCAGGTCTCTCGTTACTCTCGGGCATTCAAGTCGGGGTGATGACTCCTTGATTTGTCCTTCCTGCAGGCTTGTCCTACTGGGGCCTTGACTGGAGACAGGGATGCCCTCTCCTGTCATTGCCTCTCTATGAAATGGGTTTGTCTCAATAGAAACCACCTTGCTCAAGCCCCCTTGGCTGCCTACTAAAAAACCTAAAAAACGTCGGCCTCTTTGATTTGAGGACCCGCAAACTTGTATTCCTCTGCAAAACAGCCTGGTCCCAATACAAACCCAACAATAATTCTCAATGGCCAGAAGATGGCACTCTTGACTTCAATATCCTAAGGGATCTAGACAGTTTCTGCCACCGGACAGGCAAGGCCTCAGAAATTCCTTAGGTGCAGGCTTTCTTCTCTCTCCACTCTCACTCTTCCCTTTGTTCTACCTGCTCCACCCACCAAGTACTTCTAGCCCGATCCCCAATCCCCCTCTCTTCTACAGAGTCTTTTGACCCTCAAGACCACTCAGCCACACCTCTTTCTCCTCTTCCTTCCTCTCCCCCCACCCCCGATACTCCTCCTGCCCCAGATACACCCCCTTTGCATGGCTAGATTTAATAAGAAAAGGAGTCCTAAGTCTAAACCTAACCCAAGTCGAGCCCTCTCAATGCTCTCTCTGTGCCTTCCTAGACCAACCACCGATGGCCGCAGTCCCACTCTCATATGCCTTAAACACTTCTAAAACCTGCCCTGCCTCCTCAGTCTCTCTAGACCACGTGCCCCCTATACACCCCAAAAAATACCTGTAATCTATGCTACTATAAAGACATCTCCCACCCGACATGCAATCAAACTCATCAAATTACCTCTGACTTTACAAGTCCTCGGGGAACTTTCTTTTGGTGTAACCACACTCTAACCAACCACATCGATACCACCTCTCCGGGCCCATGTGTCCTGGCAATTCTCGCCCCACAGCTTCTAGATTACACTGAGGATGAGGTTGCCGGAATCCTTCACACTCCCCGCCAGAAGCGGGCCATCTTTCTCCTTTTTCTTATAGGCCTCTCTTTCTTCTCTTCCATAGCCGCCCTAGGAATCAGGGGAGCTGGACTCGGCTACAGCCTTAACCTATTAACCGAGCGGTATGTATTTACACATCTTCGTGCCCGTTATATGCTGCGTAATTAAAAAGGGAATTCCCTGGTTAACAGGTTAAAATGACTGAACAAATTCAAGCGGATCTAGAAAGAGGTTTCGAAAACTTGGCTGCCTCACTAGCCTCCCTACAATGACAACTCATCTCCTAGCAGAGGTTGCCCTCCAAAACCGACGGGCCTTGGACCTTCTCACCACTGAGAGAGGAGGTACCTGCCTTTTCCTCCAAGAAAAATGCTTCTACTATATCAACAAATCAGGTATAGTAGAGGAAAATATTAACTTTCTCCGAAAACTCCAGGAGAGGCTCCATAATCGCAGGCCCGAGGAAGCATCACAATTAAGCCAATGGTGGTCAACCCCCCTCTTTAACATCCTACTCCCACTTATAACTTCACTAATAGTAATTTCTCTCTTCTTACTGCTTCTCCCATGTTTTCTGAAATTTCTAAATGCACCGGTGACCGAGCTCGCCAGGGTCACCCACCACCAACTACTACTCCAAACTTACACCCCACTACCCCAAGGTGACCCCCCAGGAGGAGCACCCCAGAGGGAGAACAGCAGGAAGTAGCTACAGAAGAACACTCTTGCCCGAGAGGCCCTCCCTAAGGGTCAACCCAAAGTTACAATCAACACAAACTTTTTTCCAACTTATATTAACTAAGAGTCAGGAAATGTTAGCTCTAATTTCCATATTACTGCCCCAAGCCTCTTAAATCTTTTACTTTCATATTGATGCCCAAGCCTCTTTTGGTTTAACCTCACCCTAAACCTCTCATTTCAGGAAACCAAAACCCATCACTCCAGTCAGGCAAAACGTAATGACGGAATTACCCTAATCCACCCAAAACTGTAAATGGCCGCCTGACAAGAAAAACAAGTTTCAGGAGACCCCAGCCCCAACCAATCAAGAACTTGGGAGACCCCAGCCCCGACCAATCAAGGACGACCACCCACCCCAGCCCTAAATTTAAAAATCCTTAGTCTAGACAAGCTGGTTGCTATTTTCTCCTTAGACGTAGCCCGGCAGGTCTTTTCCTCAATAAACCTGCATTCTTCTGGTTACTCAGCACTGCCTCGTTCTTACAATTTTGGCTTTATAAATTAAGACTGTTTGGGAAAATATTAAAAAGAAATGCTTTTTGGCAGGTCCAAGTTTTGTCAGCCATACTAGCAGTGAGACTGGTTATTTGCTTGTGGTTCATGTAGCAGCCCTACCTTGATCTTTCCTTGGTGAGAGGTAAAGATATTTGGAGAGCCCTGGCCAGTTTGGCTCAGCGGTTAGAGCGTCGGCCTGCGGTCCGGAGAGACCCGGGTTCGGTTCCCGCTAAGGGCACGTACTTCGGTTGCAGTTTGTCCCTGGCCCTGGTTGGTCGTGCGGGTGGCAGCCACTCGATGTGTCCCTTCGCGTCGATGTTTCTCTCTCTCTCTCCCTTCCCCTCTCTCCCTCCCACTCTATCTGTACAAAAAATGGAAAAATATCCTCAGGTGAGGATTAAAAAAAAAAAAAGAATATTTGGAGAATTCTCCTGGTAACTAAAACTATTTCCAGAGTGTTATCTGGATAGAAAAATACTCATTTGCTCTCTTTCTTTCTTGATAAAGATGAATCCCAATCTCTATTCCAATTGTGGTCACTCAGCTGTCACTTGAGATTGCTTAAACAATGAAAAGCTCTTTTTTTTTTTTTTATCCTCACCCGAGGAGATTTTTCCATTTTTTGTACAGATAGAGTGGGAGGGAGAGAGAGGAAGAGAGAGAGAGGGAAACATTGATGTGAAAGGGACACATCGAGTGCCTGCCACCCGCACGACCAACCAGGGCCGGGGACAAACTGCAACCGAGGTACATGCCCTTAGTGGGAACCAAACCTGGGTCTCTCCGGACTGCAGGCGGACGCTCTAACCGCTGAGCCAAACCGGCCAGGGCAAGCTCTTTTTTTTTTTTATCCTCACCTGAGGATCCATTTTTTGTTCAGATAGAGTGGAAGGGAGAGAGAGAAGAAGAGAGAAAGAGAGAGAGAGAAACATCGATGTTAAAGGGACACATCGAGTGGCTGTCACCCACATGACCAACCAGGGCTGGTTGCAAACTGCAACTGAGGTACGCACCGTTAGTGGGAACCAAACCCAGGTCTCTCTGGACCGCAGGCCGATGCTCTAACTGCTAAGCCAAACCAGCCAGGGCAAAAGCTCTTGAGACTTATATAGACTAACCGGAGGAAGTTGCTGAGGCCACTGGACTGCCAGGCTGTGGACCACAGGGTTCCAGTGGGCAAGCCACCATAGAGGATCCTGTTCAAGATGGGCTGGCTTGCCCTGGCCGGTTTGGCTCAGCGGTAAGAGTGTCGGCCCATGGACCAGAGAGTCCTGGGTTTAGTTCCCGCTAAGGGCATGTACCTCAGTTGCAGTTTGTCCCCAGCTCCAGATGGGGCCGGGTGGTTGGCAGCCAGTCAATGTGTCTCTCTTACATCAATGTTTCTCTCTTCCTCCTTCTCTCCCTCCTTCTCTATCTGAAGACAAATGTAAAAAAATGTCCTCGGGTGAGGACAAAAAAAAAAAAAAAAAAAAGATGGGGTGGCTTCACCAGCCACCCCTGGAACCGAGAAATCTAAGAAAGCCCATTCTGACCTGGCTGGGAGCTGTACAGCCTGGGAGTTTACCTCAGAAATGTTGTTCATTCTTCTAATGTGAGAACAGGGAGGGACTGCTTGACATCATGGAAAGTTTAATGACTTGATTATTGGAGTATCGCCAGTGTGACCATCTTTTTGCAATCCCCAGCCCACATTCCTCCTCCTTGCCCAAAACCTTTTTACAATCCCCCCACCCCCATTCCTCCCCGCTTACCTATAACAATTTTACCCATTTTTTCTCTCTTTTTGCCTAACTGCATTTTCTTACATAGTCATTGTTTCTCTACCCTTTAAAAGCAGCTGGCAAGTGTGGGGGAGGGGGGGACAGAGCAGATTTTACAGGATGACCCACTGCTCTCTCATACTGCCAGCAATATTGGAATAAACATCTAGAAACAAATTTTTAAAATACACTAACTGGAAAACCCTACCTCTTGACAATGTCTACCAAGATTGCTCTTAGTTCCTATCTCATTGGACCCTGACTTAGTTGTAGCTATTTTCTGCTTCCTCCTCTGCAGGCTCACTTAGAACTAGATCCTTTGGGAAGCCAGAAGAGTCTGCTAACTCCTGCTTTTGTATATTATCAGTGTCTGAGTTATAGAATAAAACACCTACAGTTTCCTGATCCTGTGTGTAAACTACCTTGGCTTGTTCTTTCCCCAGTACCACTTCAGGGTGTTGTTTATGCTTTGCTTTATTTTGTTTTTACCAACAGGAGGGGAAAGCAAGATTGAGAATAATCAGCAGCTAAGTCTAGAATCTCTAAGATTTGAAGAGCTTGCCCTAGAAAAAGATTCCACTGGTGTGCCTTTTGTCTGTTACCCAGAAAAATCCTCTGAGGATGGAGTTGGAGTCCTCGAAAGGAAAATATCAAGTGGAACTTCTGCTTGCAAGAAAAGTTTCACGAGCCTTTTAGTTACCATTGAGAACCATATCCCATTAATAAACTTTCTCAATGTTTAGAAACCAGAGCACTTTCTGAAATTCTTGAATTTCCTGGGGAAGAAGCCAGAAATTTATACAAATGTCCTGAATGTGACTAAAGCTTCTGTGATAATTCATACCCTGTTTTGCATCAGAAAACTCACTTAGGAGAGAAAAAGTATAAATGTGATGCCTGTGGAAGATTCTCAGTTATAGAGCAAACCTGAGTACACATAGGTTCATACTGGTGAGAAGCCCTGTAAGTGTGCTGAGCGCAACAGCAGCTTCTGCCAGTACTCCCATTTATTTCAGCATATGAATGTCCATATAAAGGAGAAACCCTAGCCCAGCCAATGTAGCTCAGTGGTTGAGTGTTGACCCATGCACCAAGAGGTTGCCAGTTCGACTCCTGGTTAGGGCGCATGCCTGGGTTGTGGGTCAAATCCCCAGTGGGGGGCAAGCAGGAGGCAGCCAACCCATGTTCTCTCTCATTGATGTTTCTATCTCTCTCTCCCTCTCCCTTTCTCTCTCTCTAAAAAATCAATTCAAATTTTTATTAGAAATAAAAATATATAGAGAAACCTACACATGTAGTATATGTGGAAAAATTTTTATGCGGCTCCCAGGATTAGCACACTCACACAAAAAAAAGCCCATGAATGTACCAGCTCTGGTAAATTTCTGGTCAGAAAACAAATTGCTTTGCATGAGAATATGCACACATCTGCCACCCAATGTCAGTACACTCAGTGCATGAAATGCTTTAGGCAGCCCTCACGTCTTGCTCTCCCCGAGTAGGACCACAAAAATGAGTCTGGAGATTGCAGGGAAAATTTGCTTTTGTTCTCACAATTCAAACTCTTAAAATGTCCCAAATGTACAATGAGTTTTCTTCCTATCTCTGGACGTATTTCTCATCAAATTATTCATAAAGAAGTAAAGTTCCATAAACGCAAACCATGTGCAAAAAGTCTTACTTTGGAATCAGCTTGCAAGAAGAGCCACATAGGAGAGGAATCTTTTAAATGTACCGTGTGTAAGGAGAAAATGAACACATGGGACTACATCAAACTCAAAAGCTTCTGCACAGCAAAGGAAACAACCACCAAAATGGAAAGGCAACCCATTCTATGGGAGAGCATAATTACCAACGATACATCAGATAAGGGGTTAATTTCCAAAATATATAGAGTGCTCATACAACTCAACAAAAAGAACCCAATTAAGAAATGGACAGAGGGCCCTGGCTGGTTTGGCTCAGCGGTTAGAGTGTCGGCCCGTGGTCCAGAGAGACCTGGTTTTGGTTCCTGCTAAGGGCATGTACCTCGGTTGCAGTTTGTCCCCGGCCCTGGTTGGGTCATGTGGTTGGTGACCACTCGATGTGTCCCTTTCACATTAATGTTTCTCTCTCTCTCTCTCTCTCTCTCTCCCTCCCACTCTATCTGAACAAAAAATGAAAAACTATCCTTGGGTGAGGATAAAAAAAATGGGCAAAGGAACAAAATAGACACCTCTCCAAACAGGACATACAAATGGCTAAGAGACATATGAAGAAATGCTCAACATCACTAATCATCAGAGAGATGCAAATTAAAACAACATTGAGGTATCACCTCACACCTGTCAGAATGGTCGCCATCAACAAATCATCAAACAACAAGTGTTGGCGAGGGTGTGGAGAAAAGGGGACTCTAATACACTGCTGGTGGGAATGCAGACTGGTGCAGCCACTATGGAAAACAATATGGTGTTACCTCAAAAAATTAAAAATTGAACTTCCATTTGACCCAGTGATCCCACTTCTAGGAATATACCCTAAGAAGCCTGAAACACCAATCAAAAAGAATATATGTACCCCCATGTTCATAGCAGCACTATTTACAATAGCTAAGATCTGGAAACAGCCCAAGTGTCCATTAGTAGACGAATGGATAAAAAAGCAGTGGTATATATACACAATGGAGAACTATGCAGCAGTAAGAAAGAAAGATCTTTTATCCTTTGAGACGACATGGAGGGACCTGGAAAGTATTATCCTAAGCAAAACAAGCCAAACAGAGAAAGACAAGTATTATATCATCTCACTTATTTGTGGAATATAATGAACATAACAGTCTGAGGAATGGGGTAGTCCCAGAGATGTGGAAGTGGGGTACAGACTGACAATCCCCAGAAGAGGGGGTGGGGGGGAAGAGATAAACCACAGAACTTATATGCACATATGCATGAACAATGGACATGGACAACAAAGCTGGGGACAGGGCGGAGAGGGAGGGGAAGGGGGAATCAGTGGGGGGAAAAGGAGAAACATCTGTAACAAAAATAAATAAATACATTAAAAAAAATAAAAATAATAAATGTACCGTGTGTGGGAAAAGTTTCAGGCTGAATATGCATCTCCTTGTTCATCAGTGAACCCATACAAAAACATCATGTAGATATAGCAAATTTTCATTAATGCTCGTGCTTCTCAGTATCTATACTAAAAATGGGGGAACAGTTAGCCCTGGCAGGTGTGGCTCAGTGGTTAAGAGGGTCGGCTGCACACCAAAGTGTCGTGGGTTCAATATCCAGTCAAGGGCATGTACCTGGGTTGCAGGTTCAATCCCCTGCCCTGGGCCAGGGCATGTGTGTGAGGCAACCAATCGATGTATCTCTCTCATATTGGGGTGTTTCTCTCTCTCTTTCTCTCTCTCTCTCTCTCTCTCTCTCTGTCTCTCCCCCTCCTCCCTCTCTTCCACTCTCTGAAAAGTCAATGGAAAAAAAAAAATATCCTCAGGTGAGGATTAACAGCAACAAAAATTACCCTATATGTGCCAGGCATTGGGCTAAGTGCTTTACAAACATTCCATGCACTATATCATTTAGTTTTTACCACAACCTTGATTTAGGCACTATGATTTCTATTTTATAGTCAAGGAGGCATAAACAATGCCATAGCTAGAGAATGAAGCCAGGATTCTAACTCAGTAACTCAATTACTGTTTGAATTCCTGCCCGGCAGGTGTGGCTCAGTGGTTGAGGGTCACCCATGCACTGAAAGGTCACAGATTCAATTACCAGACAGGGCACATGCCCAGGTGGCAGGCTCAATCCCCTGTAGGGGGTACGCAGGAGTCAGCTGATGGATGTCTCTATCTCTCCCTCTCTCTTGTTCTCTAAAAATCAATACATATTTTTAAAAATAAAATGAAATTTGTTTGTACGAGCTGGAGAACACCACACATTTTTTTTTTTTAATTCAGTTTTCATTAAAATAAAGGCTATTGCTAGAGTGCTTTTAATTTTGTTTATATGGTTTCCAAGGAAATTTTAAAAGGAGGAGAATTAATTTTTTTTTTTTTTGCCACGTCTGCAGATATTGCATCTAGGAAAGTAAACACTTTTGTATATCTGGGTTATACATTTTTTGGCTATAACTATCTGAATATATTTGTATGAGTTATTGTTTTACATGTGAATTTCTGGAAGGGTTTAGAAGCTTCTTTTTTCACCCTGTGTGAAAAGTTCCCAAATGGGTGGGGACTAGTTAGTATCATGATGGCTATTAGTATCTGTGGAGTTCCATTCTCAGATCTGATGCTATTGACCTCTGTGCTTCTAGTGTTTAGAAGGAATTTTGGCAATCTGACTATAGTCCTCTCTGGTGCCTGGACTTGATGAAGGAAAAGATTCTTGCTCCTCTCTAAGACAATTTACCTCCAGTCTCTATAAAAATACATGAAAAATAGCCCTGGCTGGTTTGGCTCAGCGGTTAGAGCGTTGGCTTGCGGTCCAGAGACCCAGGTTCAGTTCCTGTTAAGGGCACGTACCTCAGTTGCAGTTTGTCCCCGGCCCTGGTTGGGTCGTGTGTGTGGCAGCCACTCAATGTGTCCCTTTCACGTCAATGTTTCTCTCTTTCTCTCTCTCTCTCTCTCCCTCCCACTCTATCTGAACAAAAAATGGAAAAATGTCCTCAGGTAAGGATAAAAAAACAAACAAAAAAATACATGAAAAATAGTTGTTTAGTGAGCATGCTACATACTTTAGGTATATTACGTAATTTAATCTTCAGAATAAATCTATGACAAAGAAAGGACTATCTCATTTCATAACTAGAAACTGAAGTTCACAAAGACTAAAATCAGTACCTTTACCAAGACACAAAAATAGCAGCGTGGGTCTCTCTGATGCCAAAGGCTGTGCATTCTGCGACCCTGTATTATATGTTGGCATTCGTTATCATATGTTAGCACTGGAAGCATCTGGGGGAGGCTGAAACAGATGAGTAAGGATGGTCATCATGGAGGCTATGCTGCACACACATATCCTGGAGCCTCTTCACACTCCTTTTGCACTTTATCCCATGCCTGACTTACATGTATGGCTATAAACAAAAACAACAGCCCTGGACGGTTTGGTTCAGCGGTTAGTGTTGGCCTGCGGTCCAGAGAGACCTGGGTTCGGTTACTGCTAAGGGCACGTACCTCGGTTCCAGTTTGTCCCCGGCCCTGGTTGGGTCATGTGGGTGGCAACCACTCGATGTGTCCCTTTCACATCGATGTTTCTCTCTCTTCCTCCCACTCTATCTGAACAACAACAACAACAACAAAAAGGAAAAATGTCCTCGGATGAGGATAAAAAAAAAAAAAATCAGAAAAACTCTATAGGACTTCAAGTTCAAACTCCCATCCCTATGATCAGATCAGAGATTGCAAAATGTAGAGTACAGTCCTTAGAATTTTAGTTTAAAAAATTTTTTTCTCCTCTTCAAAGAAAAATACATACTGAAAAATGTTAGAGTTTAACCAAAATACTTCACAATACATGGGTCTGTAGATACTGCTGTTATATGTAAATACTGGAACATAATATTAAATAGATGGTTTTTTATTTTAAATAATAACCAAAAAATTTTGTAAATATGCATTTCTAAAATTTCTCTTTAAAACGAAACTGTGTACCTATCAGCAAAACAGCATTTAAAAGTGCTTTAGATTGGGATGTGAGAATGGAATATTAGGGTCTCTAACAGTGATTATTAATGAAAATAGCATTATTACAATAGAATTCAGGTGTTAACAGTTACTTTTTTATTTATTTATTTATTTATTTACTTATTTTTTATCCTCACCCCAGGACATTTTTCCATTTTTTGTTCAGATAGAGTGGGAGGGAGAGAGAGGAAGAGAGAGAGAAACATCGACGCAAAAGGGACACATCAAGTGGCTGCCACCCACACGACCATCCAGGGCTGGGGACAAACTGCAACAGAGGTACACATCCTTAGCGGGAACCAAACCCGGGTCTCTCTGGACCGCAGGCCGACGCTCTAACCGTTGAGCCAAACTGGCCAGGGCAACAGTTTATGTTTTATAATTAAAGAAATTGTGGAATTTAGTTATTCTTGAAGGAGCTGGACTCAAAATAGTTTTGTTTAGAGTTTTGTTGCAATAGGTAATGAATAGCCTATTCACATCACCCCATTTAACATAGAAAATGACTAACCCAGTAATTCAGTGAGTTAAAACCAAAAACAAGTGACGTTTCGCAGTAAATGCTGTTTGAGTTTTTGACTCCTGAGATTCTATATAATTAAGTAGCATTGTTTTGATGAGTGTCACAATCTGATACTGCAAATTTTGCTCAAAGTAATCTGCCAATTTAATGCATATGTGCAAAGCAGGTTATAGTTTGTCTGAAGAATCTATTTTGAATTGTTCACTAGTTATTTCTATAGGATTTCAGTAGAAAAGTGTCTTTGTTTTGACCATTTGTTTAAAAAGTAACTAAATTATTTTCATTAGAAGTGTGTATATTTATCTGTTTTAGTTTTGTAGCTTGAGAGAGCTACTGATCTGATAACAATATAACCATTACCCATCTTTTCAGGCCCATCTGACTAGAGGTGTTCTATCTTTTAATTTTGACATTCCTCCTTGCATTAACAGCCTGGTACTAGAGTATAGGGATATGACATACATGTACATTTCTGAAAATATGCTGTACTCTCTAGTTCCTTTGGATACCTCTTAAGTATGTTTGTTGTAATGCACTTGTACTGTTTGTTTAATATTTTGATTTTAGTGTTTTTGGTGTTTTCTCATGAGGTTTAGCTCTGGATTATAAGCTCTTACTAGGCAGTGATTATGCTGTGCAATTTGACATCTAATAAATACTTTTTTTATGATGATGTCAATGAGGAGAATTTTTTTTTTTTTTTACACTTAAGTGGTTTTAGACGACAATGAGGTGAATTTTGAAAACTGTTGGGATTGTGGTTTAGAGAGGGCCCTTTAATAATGGAGGTAGAGTCATTTGATCCCTGGAACTCAAAAGAAAATTCCAGTGCTTCCCTGGGAGACAGCACTAGACGTCCAGGGCCAGGTACCAGCAGCCACGCGTGATTAGCCCGTGTGGGTGCTGCCGGAGTAGTGGGTGAATGGTGAGGGTACGCTGGCAGAGGCTCCCACAAATCTTTGCGCGGCCTTGGAGAGCCCTTGCGACTTGCGCCACCAGCCGCAGAGGCCTGCGAAGTGCCAATGAGACCGGAAGCACTAGAATTGCCTGCAAGATTGGGAACCGAAATTCGAAATTCGCCAGGTCTCTTCCAGCGTCCTTTCCGGGTGGTGCGGCTGCGCATGTCTGGGGCACTTCGGGTTCGGTGGGAGGTGGAGACCCAGTGAAGAGCTTGGCAGGGCCCCCATCTCCACCCCCCCCCCCCCCAAAGCAGACTCCGCAGAAGCCTGGGGACCGGGGCCAGAGTGTTTGCCGAGGGACTCCTCAGGCCTCTCTCCGCACCAGCAGGAGGGTAACGCGGGTATGGGTGTCCAGGGCCAGCCTGAATTGGTTCCACCACGCTAGGCACTGCCCACGCCAGGGACCGAAGAAAGATCACTGAGCGACTTCCCTGGCCCTACTTCCGCTTTGGCAACGAGGAGCCCAACCTGTGGGTCTCTGGCGTGTTGCACTGTGTTTCTCACTTGCCCAGGGCAGAGGATTTTTCTTTCTAGAACCAACGCTAGTCTCTTCGTCGGCTTTCTGTGTACTCTGCAGCCAAATTCTAAAATGCCTCTGGTTACTGAAGAGTGTATCCTGGATTCACCTAAGTACTTGTCCCCTGCTACCCCAAGGGAGTTTAGCCACTTCCATGACAAAAAGACCTCACTTTATATCTAGCCCAGATTTCTCCTCTTCCCTGCACTCTAGATCCCAATATTCACGTGCCTAGGAGGGATCTTCTTTGTAGGTCTCTGAGCCATGAAAACATGCCCCCAAACCAACTCCTGCTTTTAGCCCCTGATTCGTTTGCCTCCAGTGTGTGAAACTACATCCACACAATTGCTCATGCTGGAACACACACACCATCTACCTCTAAAACTCATTAATTCGATCAAGTCCTGTGGATTGTACATCAAACATAGCTCTCAAACCTAACTGCTTCTACCTCCACTGTCGCTATCCTTATCCATTATTACTGCCTGGGATGACTAAATAGCTCTTTATCCTCTCTCTCATCACTCTGTTCTCTGCCAGCACAGCACATCTGATCATGTCACCATCCAACCTGACATCTTCCACTGGCTTCCCATTATCCTTCGGATAATGTACAAAATTTTCAATTTGACCTCCCTGTTACTTCTCTGCCAGCTCCAACCAGCTGTTCTATTCTTTATTCTGTCTGTTTCTTGCCTTCTAGTTGCACTGACTTTTTTACAGTTCATCAAATATACCAAGCTATTTAGTTCTTCAAGAATTGTGAACATCACCTGGCTGGTTTTGTACAGTGGTTAGAGAGGCAGCCTGTGGCCAAAGGGGTGGGTTCGATTCCCTGTCAAGGGCATGTACCTGAGTTGCAGGTTTGATCCCTGGCCCTGGTCCAGGTCATGTGGGAGGCAACCAATCAATGTGTCTCTCACATCAATGTTTCTCTCTCTCTCTTCATTCCTCTCTCCCTTCCATTGATCTAACAATCAATGGGAAAATATCCTCAGGTGAGGATTAACAAAACAAAACAAACAAATAAAAAGAATCGTGAACAGCCCTGGCCGGTTTGGTTCAGCGGTTAGAGCGTCGGCCTGCGGTCCTGAGAGACCCGGGTTCAGTTCCCGCTAAGGGCGCGTACCTCGGTTGCAGTTTGTCCCCGGCCCTGGTCGGTCGTGCGGGTGGCAGCCACTCGATGTGTCCCTTCACATCGATGTTTCTCTCTCTCTCTCTCTCTGTTCCTCTCTCTCCCTCCCACTCTACCTGAACAAAAAATGGAGAAGTGTCCTCGGGTGAGGATAAAAAGAAAAAAAAAAAAGAATCGTGAACATACTTTTTCTTTTACCTGGAACATACCCCCATCTCTGCTTCCTTTTCTTTTATTGTTGTTGTTGTTGTTGTTATTATTATTATTTAGGTCTAGATAGAAGCAACAGGAGAGAACCTTGAGGGTGGAAGGGGGATGAGCCTAGGCTGGACTGCTTTGGTTCACTAAGAAGTCAGAGAAAAAGGGACCTTGGGGACAGGTTCAAGGGGTTGTCCTTGCTCTGCTCATGTCTATTTAACTGCCTACCACATCTCCCCCTCAAGGATCTTGGCTCTGAATTCTTTCAGAGAAAAGGGGTGCAGGATCTCTTCTGTAGCTGCTTCCTGCTGAAGAGGAGCAAAGTTTTCCTTCAGATCCAAGAGATCCTTGCTCTCTGTCAGATGGACGTTGAAGCCTGGGAACGAAAGGAGGTGGCGATGGTATCTAGAGTATCTAGAGGTGGTTTTCCCTGAGTACAAGTAGGACTTGTAACCCAAATCCACCAGATGCAAAGTGAGGAACTGGTGGGGCACAAGGGGTCGCTGCTGGTACCTACCACTGGTCCAAGAGTCTGCAAAGTGGTCTTGGGTGGGCTTCTCCAGAATCCTGCCACACGATCCAATCATGGCACCATAATGTTGTGGGTGGTAGGAATGGCACCAGGTGTTAGACCTATGGGGCCAGACTGGACCTGAGTTCAGCAACCTCAGTACTTGAGGTCTGGCTAGGAAAGAATTCAGAGCCACGATCCAAACTATAAGAGAACATTCATTTGGAAAATCACAGAGGTAGAAGTAATTTGTAGCCCTGGCCGGTTTGGCTCAGCAGTTAGAGTGTCGGCCTGTGGTACGGAGAGACCCAGGTTCGGTTCCTGCTAAGGGCACGTACCTTGGTTGCGGTTTGTCCCCAGCCCTGGTTGGGTCGTGTGGGTGGCAACCACTCGATGTGTCCCTTTCATGTCGATGTTTCTCTCTCTCTCTCCCTCCCTCTCTATCTGAACAAAATATCAAAAATTGTCCTCGGGTGAGGATAAAAAAAAAAAAAAAAGAAGTAATTTGTAAAATAAGTGGGCTTAGGAAACAAATTATAGAGGTAAAGAAAGGGCCCTTGGAGCTTAGAAGCGCGGAAGGTAAAGGTGATATGCCTGGGGAAAGGAGGAAGGAGGAAGGGAAAGGTGCGGGCATGCTCCTGGGAGAGCTCCTCTGCCTCCTTTATTTTGCCCTCCTCATAGCACTTACCCTGCTTGTAATTTAATAGTAATTATGTAAACAGTGGTTTAGTGTCTGGGGCGGAAGGGTGGTGGTGAGGAGGCAGGAACCATACACATGGCATTCTTTGGCCTGAACACTCACACTCACCATGAACTATACTTCTCTGCAGTATCACTTCCTGAGTTCTGTCATTTCCTAAAATTGTGTCACAAAATCCATCAACTCAGACCTTTCCTCATGATGATGAAAATATACTATTCTTGTCCTCTCCTGACAAGGCAGGTACCTTACCCCTACCCTCCACAACAGCCATGCCCATGTCCCATACCTGTGTCCTCATACCTCCCAGTGGCACCCAGGTGAGCCTTAATTTGTAACCTTCATCTTTGGAATGTTCTGCCCTCCTTAAAGCTGCTCCTGTTGGGGATGCCCTCCCTCTGCCACCCACATCTCTCCCATTTTTTAGACAAGCCCTTCCTTAGACCTCTGCACCTATACTTGCTAGCAGATACTCCAGAAACACTAGTGTATGGCACTATTCTCACAAGATTCTGGGCCCTCTGACAAACTTTTCATCATCTTTTTGAAAATAATGTTTTGCAAAAAGTAAGGAGCACATTATTCACAATAGCCAAAAGATAGAAACCACGATGTCTGTTGACAAATGAACGGTTGACAAATGTGGTCTATACAATGCAATATTATTCAGCCTTAAAAATGAAGGAAATTCTGATACATTCTACAACATGGATGAGCCTTGAGGACATTGTGCTAAGCAAAATAAGCAAGTCACAAAAAGACGGTATGATTCCACTTATATGAGATACCTAGAGTAGGCAACTTCATAGTGACAGAAAGAATGGTGGTTACAAGGGCTTGGGGAGGGAGGAGGGCATAGGGAGTTGTTTAATGGGAACAGAATTTTGGAAGATAAAAAAGTTCTGGAGATGCATAGTGGTGGATGGCTGCACACCATTGTAAATATACTTAATGCCACTGAAGCGTGCACTTCCAATGGTTAAAATAGTAAATTTTAGATTATTTATATTTTATCAAAATAAAAAATAAATTTAAAAATCCAATGTAAAAAAAAAAGTAAGGAGCGGCATAAGGACAATAAAAATAAGGGCTGCATCTGCTTCGGGGCACCTTTCTCTAGGACATCATTTTATTCATAAACAACCCTTTAGAGAAATTCTCTCTTTCCAGAACATTGTCTACTGTGACCACAGTGTAAGCAAGTGTCAAATCCCTTGAGTCCCTAGGGCCTCTTTGTTCATTCCAGGCACAAGTGTTTTGAAGATCAGACAGGACATTTCAAGATGCTCAGTTTTACTGACACATAATTCATCCTTCTTTCATATGATATTTCCCAAAAAAACAAAATGCTTTCACATACACGTTCCCTTCATCAGTCATGTAAGTGGAAGAAGAAGGCTTGGCAAATTTAAGTGACACATCCAGGTCACGAGGCTGGAGAATGACAGAGTTGAAAACAAAGCCATCCCTTGGTCTTAGCTTGGTACAAAGTTCACTCCTCAGATTTATTTATGAAGCTGCCTCAGATTCAACTAAGCCCAAGTTACCCTGAGGACCAAGGTAGATGCTTGGGGTTCCGCTAGCTGGCTCTGCCCTGATCTGGTCTCAGATGAGTTTCTAGATCCAGGAATGACATTAGGAGAGGTCTGCCTCACATTTCTGTTTCACTGGCTATTTGGGAATTGTGACTGTATTGGTCATTTTTGTATTTTGGCAGGTGGTAGCTGCTTTAAAGAGATGTATTACAATTGTGCATAAAAGTATATTACAGCAGAATGGGAGAAAAATATTTGAAAGTCATATATCTGAAAAGGACTTGATTCCAGAATATATAGAGGACTCCTACAACTCAACAATAAAAAGACAATAAAAGGCCCTAGCTGGTTTGGATCAGCGGTTAGAGCGTCGACCTGTGGTCCAGAGAGACCCAGGTTCGGTTCCCACTAGGGGTGCATGCCTCGGTTGCAGTTTGTCCCCGGCCCTGGTTGGTCATGCGGGTAGCAGCCACTCGATGTGTCCCTTTCACATCGATGTTTCTCTCTCTCTCTCTTCCTCTCTATCCCTCCCACTCTATCTGAACACAAAATGGAAAAAAATGTCCTCGGGTGAACATTAAAAAAAAAAAAAAAAAAGACAAAAGGGCAGAGATTTTGAGTATCCATTTATATTTATATAAAGAAGATACACTAATGGCCAGTAAGCATCATTAACCAAGAGGGAAATGTAAATTAAAACCACAGTGAGTACCACTTCATATCCACTAGCATGGCTATAATAAAAAGGACAGATAGTAAGTGTTGACAAGAATGTGGCAAATTAGAACCCTCATACACTGCTAGTAGGGATGTAAAATGGAGCAGACCCTGTGAAAAACAATTTGTCAGTTCCTCAAATGTTTAAACATTGAGTTACCATATAACCTTCCCATGTATATACCCAAGAAAAATGAAAGTATATGTTCACAGAAACACCTGTACATGAATGTTCATAACACCATTATTTATAATGGCCAAAATGTAGAAACAACCCAAATGTACATCAATTGATAAATGGATAAACAAAATATGATCTAACCATACAATAAAAAGCATGCAGTAATGATACTTTCTATAACATGGATGGACCTCAAGGATATTGTGTTGAGTAAAAGGGATGGGGGCTCAAGGGGCACAGGGTTGGGGAGTGACTGTTAATGATGATGGGATTTCCTTTTAGGCTATTAAAAATGTTCCAAAATTTGTCATGGCTGGTTTGGCTCAGTGGTTGGAGCGCCAGCCCATGGATTGAAGAGTTGTAGTTTCAATTCCTGGTCAAGGGCACGTACCTGGATTGCAGATTCGACCCCTGGCCCCAGTCAGGGTCATGTGGGAGGCAACCAATTAATGTGTCTCTCTCATATCAATGTTTCTCTTTCTCTCTCCCTTCTATTCTATCTAAAAAAAAAAAATCCTTGGGTGAGAATTAACAACAATAAAATTGCGGTGATGGTTGCACAACTCTATGAATATACCATAATTATTAAATTGTATTGAATTTTGCCCTGGCCAGTGTGGCTCAATTGGTTGGAGCGTTGCCTAGTACACGGAAAGGTCACAGGTTTGATTCCCAATCAAGGCACATACCCAGGTTGTGGGTTCAATCCTGGTCAGGGTGCCTATGGGAGGCAACTTGGATAGATGTTTCTCTCTCTCTCTCTCTCTCTCTCTCTCTCAAATCAATAAAAACATATCCTCAGGTGAGGATTTTTAAAAAAGTTTAAACTGTATTGAATTTTTTAAAAACAGCACTTTAAAAAAAAATATATATATATATATATTTATTTATTTATTGACTTTTAGAGGGAGAGGGAGAGAAACATCAATGTAAGAGTGAAACATCAATCAGCTGCCTCCTGTATCCCTCCTACCAGGAATCAAACCAGCAACCCTTTGGTGCACAGGACAAGGCCCAACCCAACCCAGCCATACTGGCTATGGCTGTATTGAATTTTATGATATGTGAAATAAATCTCAATGAAGCTGGAGGAAATAGCATTTCTGTTTTAGAAACATCTAGGGGAAATTTCAACACTGTCTATTGGATGGTATTAGGGAGTTGTTAATTTTGTTGGGAATGATGATGGTATCATGGGATGGTTTTTACAGGTCCTTATCTGCTGTAGGTTGAAAATACTTTTCAGAGTAATCTACAAAGTCCAGACCCTCCCCTACCCACACATTTGCACGGATGCTTCCCTATTCCCTATCTCCCTGAGGGTAGCCAGAGAATCAAATTACCTGAGTAAGAGTCATTCCACCCCAACATGAATAAGTACAGGGCAAATCCAGAAAGATGGTGAATCTTACAGGCTGTTCCATGTGAGAGGTCTGCACATGAGAAGAGAAATATTATTTTCTTACATAGTGTGTCTGATTGCAAGCCAGCAGATCAGTGTTTTGTGCTGAGACCCTCTAGTGGAACCACACGTGGGTGAGGGGGACAGGGAGAACCTATATCTGAAGAACTGAGTGCAGTCCTGGCAGGTGTGGCTCAGTTGGTTGGAGTGTCATCTCATACACTGCAGGTAGTGGGTTCGATTCTGGTCAGGGCACATACCCAGGTTGTGGGTTCAATCCTGGATCGGGGTGTGAATGAGAGGCAACTGATTGTTTCTCTCTCACACTGATGTTTCTCTCTCTCTCTCTCTCTCTCTCTCTCTCACACACACACACACATCCTCTCTCTAAAATAAAATAAAATAAAATAAAATAAAATAAAATAAAATAAAAAATATCCTCGAGTGAGGATTAAATAAAACAAGAACTGGATACAGACCTGCAAATGTGGCTGGACACCCAGGAGCCTTCTTCCAGGCCTTCAGACCATCATGAGCACTCACCACCTTATCTGCCAAAGGAAGACTAGGTTGGGGGAGGTGAGGTAGCATCACCTTTTGGAAATGAGTGATAGTCAGAGTGGCGATTTTGTCACCTTTATTCAAGGTCCACAATTGAACAGGTACCCAAAAACATTAAGATTCAACAATTAATTTGTAAACAGAAGAGAGAAAACACATACACAACAGTTTCAAAATATACCAAAGAAATAAAGCTCTTATTTAAGGAAGAGTTCCTGTCCCAAATCTTATAAATAAGAAAAGTGGAAATCTGTTGCTTCATGTTTAGAAGAGATCTTTGATTAACTGAGTTGATTCAATAGATGGGTGTGGTCAGCTGAATCACGGCCCCCCAAAAGTGTCCACATCCTAATCCCTGCAACCCATGAATATTACCTTATATACAAAAGGAATTTTGCAGATATGATTAAATTAATGATCTTGAGATGGGGAGATTACCTTGGATTATCTAAGTGAGCCCAATATTATAATATTCGTAATATTCCTTATAAGAGGGAAGCTAGATAGTCAGAATCAGAGGAGAAGGTGATATGATGACAGAGACTGGAGGGCTACACTTTGAAGATGGAGGAAGGGGCCACAAACCAAGGAATACAAACAGCCACTGGAAGCTGAAAAACACAAGGGAACAAGATTCACCCCTGAGAGCCCCCAGAAGGAACCAGGCCTGCTTACACCTTGATTTCAGCTCAGTGAAACTGATTTTGAACTTCTGACCTCTGGAACTGTAAGAGATGTTGTGCTATTTTAAGCCACTCAATTTGTTGTTGTCTGTTACAGCACCCATAGGAAATTAACACAGATATAATGAATAGGATTAGGAAAGTTATTAAGAAACAATAGTGAAATTGGCGTGGAAAAAGGTAGGGCAAAGTAGAAACAGGAGGAACCAAGAGACCCTGACCAGTGAGAGGCAACAGAAAAGAGTGAGGTATGGTCCAGGCCTAATAATGAAGATAAACTCTTCTAATATCTAATGTCATTGTTGGGAAGGGGACTGTGGATTAGAGTCTAAAGAGCCACCAAAAATTATGATGAAGACTACTGGCTTCCATTAAGTCCACCTCTGCCCCAAAGACAAGAGGCTTCATCCACTGCATTCAACAGATTGTCACCAGGATCTTTGACTCTGGCAGAAATGGGCCCTGAGGGTAAAGCAGGGGCCCTCAGTTCTTCAGTTACTGACACCTATTTCTCTAGGCTACATATGGGTTAAATCCAACAGCTAAAATGGTGGTAAAACAAGGTTCTTGTCCTTAAAGACCTTTTTTTATGTACGGTACAGTTCCCCAAGCCTAGCACTATTGACATTTGAGATGAGATAATTCTGTCATGGGGGCCATCCTGTGCACTATAGGATGTCTAGCCATACTCCTGGTCTCTACCCACTGGAGGCCAAGGGCTAGCCTTCCTCCCCCCAAGTCATAACCAACAATGTTTCCAGACATTGCCAAATGTCCTCTGGCAGGCAAAATGTACTCCCAGTTTGAGCACCACTGATGTGCAGAGTGGGGCAGAGAGTGACATGCCATTAAGTCTAAGTATACCTAGAACTTGTCAGAGAAGGCTTTGCAGAGCAGGCAACTCTCATGAGATGAGAGAGGGAATGGGGGTGGCAGGTCCTGAGAGCAAAGGAAACAATGTGTTTAAATACCTGGAAGGCAGGGATGCAGTTGTGTGCATTTGACCCTCTCCTGTAAGGAGGAATGTGATTTTCTTGGGGTTGGGTGTAACAGCAGCACAGGCCACAGCCCTGAGTTGACTGGCAGTGATTTTAGAATACTGATGCTTTAGGAAGAATGCTATCTATCCATTTCTGCTTGAGGTAGTATACTCGTCTACCGAAAGTTTTCTCTAAACTGAGAGATCAGCTGGCTTGCCTAGGGTGACTAAAAATTGTATAATGATTGGATTTTAATTTTTACCTTGAGAGAATAAAGGGATGGGATTAGATGATCTCTCAGGCTTAGTTCCAGAACTTTAATATAAATATATTTTGTCATTTTTAGAAACTTCATTTTGGTTTAAATTACATATTATACAATTAACCCATTTCAATAATTTTTTTAAATGCACTGAAATAATCCAGTTTTAGAACATTTTCATTACCCTGATCATTTAGCAGTCTACACCCACTTCTTGCTTCTAGTTGTAATTTTCTTTTCCAAAATCAAGGGTGCTTTGATATAAAAAGATGCCTCAATGTGTGTGTGTGTGTGTGTTTATTTTGGTAAAAGCACTGTCTAATTACCTGGAAACCCTCTCCTCACACAAACATGTTCATATTCTTCTTTCATATGTCCTTTGTTATGAATAGCCAGGAATTATATAAAGAATACTAGGGGCCCTGGCTGGTGTTGCTCGGTGATTAGAGAATCGGCCTGAGAACCAGGGGGTAGCAGGTCTGATTACAGGTCAAGGGCATGTACCTGGATTGCAGGCTCGATCCCCAGCCCCAGTCGGGGTGCGTGCGGGAGGCAACCAATCGATGTGTCTCTCTCACATTGTTTTTTTCTCTCCCTCTCTTTCCTCCTCCCTTCCTCCCTTGCACTCTCTCTAAAAATCAATGGAAAAAATGTCCTAGGGTGAGGATTAACAACAACAACAAAAGGAGACGAGAGAATTTATATTCCAATGAACTTTTGCCTTAAAATTCTTGTGGATCACCCATCTTTATTAAAGAACTGTGTGCATGACAAAGATTGCCTTGTATAACAGCAAATGTGTAACTATATATAGAATACACCTTTGAGGATAAATAAAGCAGTGCAGGAAAGATTTAACATGGGGCAGGGACACCTGCAGGATTATACTGATGCTCTCTCAGTAGTTATATTTCGCTCTCCAGCAGAGACTCCAGTTCCCTTTCAACCAATGCTCAGACTTGCCATTTCTTTACCCTGTCACTGTGCATGGTCATCTCCCCAAAAGCTTCTTCTGAGATCCCTCACCAGCAAAATGTGCGCCATCATTCTTCAGGGACCTCTTGCTTTCTTTGTAAGTCATGTAGACAGTCTTTGTGATTTATATGCAAGTAAAAGGAAGGAGAAACACAAATACCTTCCTTCTGAACAGAAAGACCAAAGCTCTGCTTTCAGTCCCCATGGTGAAGTCTGTGATGCTGGTGAAGGTTTGAGCTCTGGCGAAAGCTTTTCCCACACTGGTTGCACTGGTAAGGCTTCTCTCCTGTATGGATCCGCTGGTGCAGTTTCAGAGTTGATTGCCGCCCAAAGCAGTTTCCACATTCTCCACATGTGTAGGGTCTCTCCCCTGTGTGGACTCGCTTGTGTCTTTTCAGCTCTGAATTCCATGTGAAGCTTTTCCCACAGTCATCGCATTTGTAAGGTTTCTTCACTGAGTGGGTTGGCTGGTGACTAAGACGTTGCAAACGACTGCTCAGGTTTCTTTTACTACCTTTGCTTTTCTTCAGCTCTCTCAGTGGATGGCTTTTTAGGGGGCTACTGATATATTCCAGTTCCCTGCAATGTCTCTGGAAGTGAGTGAATGGCTTTTGAGCATTTGGGGAGCTGACCTGCCTCCGTGACAGCCGGGATTCACTCATATTTGCCCCTCTTGATTCAGGACTCTGCAGACCATTCCCTTTGGATCTGCTGGGTGACACTGTACATGGCTTTGCTCCTTTGGCCCCCTCCTGTTTCGGATTTTCCTTGTTCTCACTTTTCATTTTGGGGGCTTCTATAATTAGAAAGAATATGTTTCATTTGGGGGGGCTTCAAAGAAAGAACCTCAGCAAAAGAGTTATGAAATATATTGTAAGGTTTCTTAAACTATGGTTTTTCATTGGCAACTTGCATTAGACTCATCCAGGGCACTTGCCAAACAATCAGGCTGCTGAGTCAGAATCTCTGGGGAGTGGTACCTGAAAATCTGCACAGTTAACAGGTTCCTGGTGTGATTCTGATTTATATTAAAATTAGGAATCAAGTTTCCAACCCCCTCACTCCTTCCTAACTTTAGGAAAGGAGAAACAGGGAAAAGCAAATCCATAAGGCCTAAGCATCAACTAAGGAATGAAAAGAAGAAAAAGAGTTGGAATTTCAACTCTGCAAATACACTTTCTCTTCATGAACACTGAATGACGACCACCTGCTCTTCAAATAATTGGTAAATCCAGTGAATGTGGAATGTTCTTTCCTTATAAAAACTGACAGCATTTGTGTTTGGAACCTGGAATATGGGTTAGATATGCATCTTAATTATAGAAACTACCCAACTTCTGACCAACAGGATTGAGAATCAGGATGGAAATGAGCTGGAATGGCCTGTGGGCAAGTTATAGGATCTAGAGCTGTATTATCTCATGGAATTCCTGACAGGTGGGCAACGTGTTTGTGTTTGTGTGTGTGTGTGCGTGCGTACATGAGTGCACTAGTCAATATGGCAGTCACTACCCACATGAGTGCACTAGTCAATATGGCAGTACTTGAAATGTGATTCGTGTAACTGAGAAAGTGGGCTTTAAGCTTTTAATTAATTTAAATAAGCAGGCCATACAATTATGATCAATTGCTTTTTAACAAGGTTGTCAAAACAATTCAATGGGGGAAAGAACAGTCTTTTCAATAAATGTGCTAGGACAACTGAATTTCCAGATGGAAGAGAATGAAGTTGGACCCCTATCTCATATAAAACAAAAAAATTAACTCAAAATGGAACAAAGACTGCCCTGGTCGGTGTTGCTTAGTGGTTAGAGCACTTGCACATGGACTGAAGGGTCAAGGGTTCAATTCTGGGTAAGGGCACATACCTGGATTGCAGGTTCTATTCCTGGCCCAGGGTTGGGGAGTGTGGCAGGAGGCAATCAATTGATGTGTCTCTCTCACATCGATTAATTCTCTTTCCCTCCCTTCCTTCTACTCTATCTAAAAATCAATGGAAAGCCCAGCCAGTATGGCTCAGTGGATTGAGCATTGTCCCATGGACTGAGAGGTCCTGGTTCGATTACTCGTCAGGGCACATGCCTGGGTTGCGGGCTCAATCCCCAGTAGAGGGCGTGCACGAGGCAGCTGATCAATATTTCTCTCTCACATCAATGTTTCTATCTCTCCCGTCCTCTCTCTCTAAAAAAATCAATAAAAACATATTTCCGCCCTGGCCGGTTTGGCTCAGTGGTTAGAGCGTCAGCCTGCGATCCACAGAGACCCGGGTTCGGTTCCCGCTAAGGGCATGTACCTTGGCTGCAGTTTGTCCCCGGCCCTGGTTGGGTCGTGTGGGTGGCGGCCACTCGATGTGTCCCTTTCACATCAATGTTTCTCTCTCTTCCTCTCTCTCCTTCCTACTCTATCTGAGTAAAAAATGGAAAAATGTCCTCGGGTGAGGATAAAAAAAAAAAAAAACCAAAACATATTTCCAAGAATAAATAAATAAGTAAATCCTCGGGTGAGGATTAAAAATAAAAATTAAAAAAAATGGATCAAAGATCTAAATGTTAGAATTAAACCAATCTTTCTTTATACAAAACATAGGTGTAAATCTTTGTGACTTTAAATTAGGCAATGGTAATTTAGGTATGTGACTAAAAACACAAGCAGATAAAGAAAAAAAACAGAAAAATTGGACTTACTAAAATTAAAAACATTTTGGTTTCAAAGAATACTATCAAGAAAGTAAAAAAACAACAGCACTGGCCAGTGTGGGTCAGTGATTAGAGTGTCAGCCCAAGGATCAAAGGGGTGCAGATTTGATTCCCAGTCATGGGCACATACTGGAGTTGTGGGTTCAATCCCCAGGCCCTGTTGGGGAGTATGCAGTAGGCAATCAATCAACGTGTCTCTCTCACACTGATGTTTCTTCCTCCACCCCCTTCACTCTCTCTAAAAATCAATGGAAAAAATATCCTAGGGCAAGGATTAACAAAAAAGAAAGTAAAAAGACAAACCACAGAATAGAAAAAAATACTTGCAAACTCTACATAAAGGTCAAGTATCCAGAACGTGTAAAGAATTCTTTCAACAATAAAAAGACTAACCCAACTTCCCTGGCCGGTTTGGCTCAGTGGTTAGAATGTTGGCCCTCAGACCAGAGAGTCCCGGGTTCGGTTCCCGCTAAGGGCATGAACCTCGGTTGCAGTTTGCTCCCAGCCCGGTTGGGATCGTATGGGTGGCAACCACTCAATGTGCCTCTCTCACATCGATGTTTCTCTCTCTCTTCCTCCCTCTCTCCCTCCCACTCTATCTGAAGATAAATGCAAAAATGTCCTCGGATGAGGACCAAGGATTAAAAAAAAAAAAAAAAAAGACTAACCCAACTTAAAAATAAGCAAAGGATCTGGACAGACATTTCTCCAAAGAATATATACAATTGGCCAATAAATTCATGAAAAGATGCAACATCATTAGTTATAAGGCAAATAACTCAAACCCTCCATGATATACCACTTCTAGCTGTAATAAAAAAGACTGAGAGCCTAGCCAGTGTAGCTCAATGGTTGAGCATCGACCCATGCACCAAAAGGTCGTCAGTTTGATTCCTGGTCACGGCACATGCGCAGGTTGTGGGCCAAATGTGCAGTGGGGGGAATGCAGGAGGCTGCCAATCCATGTTCTCTTTCATCGATGTTTCTCTCTCTCTCTCCCCCTTCCTTCCTCTCTCTCTAAAATCAATAGAGAAAAAAAAAGAAAAAGACTGACAAAGCAAGTGTTAGCAAGGATGAAAGGAAAGTAGAATCCTCATAGAGTGTTGGTGGGAATGTAAAATTGCACAGCTGCTTTGGAAAACAGTCTGACATTTCCTCAAAAACTTAAATATAGTTACCATATCACCCAGCAATTCCACTCCATACCAAAGAGAAATAAAAACATGTTCACTTTTAAATAAATATTCACAGTAGCATTCATTATTCATGATAGCCCAAATGGAAACAACTCAAATATCCATCAACTGATAAACAAAATGTCCATTAATATCATATCATTTAGCCTTGTAAAGGAATAAAGTACTGACACATACTCCAACACGGATGAACCCTGAAAACATTACATTAAGTGAAAGAAGCCAGTCACAAAAGAGCATATATTGCATGATTTTAGACAATGAAATGTCCAGAATAGGCAAATCTTGAGACAAAAAGTAGACAGTGGTTGCCAGGGACTAGTGATTACTAATAGGTATGGGTTTCTTTTTTGAGGTTATGAAAATATACAGATATTAGTAGTGATGGTTGCACAACTATCTAATCATACTAAAAACCATTGTAATTTTACTAAAATTCACACTTTAAAAGAGTGAATTTTATAATATGTGAAGTATATCTTAATAAATACAATTTAAATAGTTGCATGTGGCTAGTGGCAACTGTATTGGACAGTACAGCTCTGAAGGAAAACAATGTTGAGTCTTAGGGATGAGAAGCATGAGAATCTACACTCGGGAATCAAATGAAAGAATAGAGACTGCACATACATCCATTTGCCTCTGCTGAGGCAGGAGAAGGGAGTGTGTCTGTCCACTTTATTCAGGACCATGAGGGCCACAGATTATGGGGCAGGATCTCAGCCAGGGTCACAGTGATTTTCTACTGGATGCCCCAGTTCTTCTCTATTCTTGAGTTCTAAGAATAATCAAACCAAAGTGTTTCACTGACTACAGCAAATCTGAAGAGATCAAGGCTTTAGCCTTCTTGTAACTCTCTTCTCTAACCTGCTGACTATATCCTGTCTTCACAGGGCTGACAGTTATACTGACATTGTACCAGAGATAGGGACGGAAGTGGACACAAAAGTTTAAAGCACAGAAAATGTCACAGGAGGAGAAAGGGGCAAAAAATAATATGGAGTGTGCTTTTTCCTCTAATGAAAAGAACATTCTTTAACCCCTTCTAAACATGGGACAATTTTGAGTGATGAAACTCAGCTACAGCTTGTATGGAAGTTCATCAGTGGTCATATTTGGATTTGTCTTCACCATAGGAAGCTCTGAAAGGGACAGAAAAGTAGGCACTAGAATAGTCCCGTTGTGTACTGCATTGTCAAATGATCATTAACAGAAAATAAAACATACTTCTTATGTGTAGTATCACTACCATTCTAATTAGTGAAATATGTTCGGGAATAAAGATCTATTACATACAACATTAAAAAAAAACAGTCTAAGGCTTTTCAGAACTATGAATGCTTTGATGGAGATAAAAGACTGATGAGAGGGAGAGAGGCGGCAGAGTATTTACCTGTCCCAGCCAATCTGATGGCTGGTTCCAGAAGGAGTGGGGATTTTTCCCAATGATGGGGGCTAAGCTGGTCTGGAAATCCTGCCTGGGAAGGCTCCTCCAGACAGCTCTCCCTGGGATATCTCCTAGGAGTTTGCAGTTGAAAGTCTGGCAGTTCCTGTTCTCCAAGCTGAGATCCAGTTTTCTCCAACAGCACTTTCTGCCCCTGCATACAAACAGCCACCTAGGAACAAGCCCCATGCATTAGAGCACAGCCAGCAGACTGACTGAGGCAGCTTGACCTCTCACTGTTCTGTAATGATCCCTTTACCCTGGAAATTCCTACAGCCTGGAGGTCAACTTTGAAAGAGACTGCTGAAACTCTCAAAGGAAGCACAGGGAAGGACATGGAGAATGATGAGAATGAGGCTGCTTCAAATCAGCCAATACTTCTTGAGTGGATACTCGTAAAGCTTGGGTTTGCTCAAGGCCTGGAATCAAAGTCATCAGAGACCAGGCACAGACCTCAGGGTTAGTCATGACACTGGCTCAGCAAATTCCCACCCTATGCCCACCTGCCTCCCTACTCCTGAAAACAGGCTCTGTAGAACTGGGAAGCTGTGTAGTGAGGGCCACTAAAAACCATCTTATTTGATAAATTTTTCTGCCCAAGGCTCTCCTGGTAAGGAGATCACAGTTGTAGCAGGGCTTTAGGAGGTCTGCCCCACCCCTATTCCCTAACTGCTTCCCCCAAAGCATGTGGTTGTTTGCTTCCTGCTTAGGAAGGACTTGGGTCTGACTTTGGGGGGGGGGGGCAGGTCTTGGAAGGAATACTAGCCAGTTGAACTGACTTCCTGATTCAAAGGCAATACGCAAAACACTTCATGGGAACAAGGTCCAATGAAGTTCCCTCCAAATCAAACTGCTACCCAACATGATTATACTGTATGCTAGGAATCCTGATTGTAGGAAAACTTCAAGAGGAATGGAGAGGAGATCTGTCAGCAAAGACTCAATAACTGTACTTGATCCTCTACTTCCTCACTGAAGTGCCAGTGGCTGAGTTTTCTGAAAATCTGGTACATCTGTGGGTAGGAGGGTATTCCCAAAAACAGAGGCTAGAAGACATGTTTGAAGCCATGGTCCATTTCTGGGCTCTAGGGAGGGATCCAGAGACCAAATACTATCCAGATGAAAAAGAAATCCTGGGGGCCATTAGAGAAGACCCTCCTTACCCACTGCTTTGGTCTCTTGGCTGCTCTGTGAAAATCTTCCACCAGAGTCACCATCTCCTTGCTGCTCATTGGACATCGATGCCTGACCCGAGCCTGGATCTCTGGGGGCAGGATGTTCAGAAACTGCTCCAGCACTAGCAGCTCCAAAATCTGCTCTTTGGTGTGCACCTCTGGCTGCAGCCACTGCCGGCAGAGCTGTCGGAGCCGAGAGAGTGCCTCTTGGGGTCCAGACACCTCTTGATAACAAAGCCGTCTAAAACTCTGGCGGGAGACCTCAGGATCGGGACAGTCTTTTTGCAGAGCCGCCCCCCGCTTCTCTTCTAGCTTTGTTATGATGTGTCTCTCTTGCTTGGTGGAAGCCTGAATGTGGGACTGAGAGCTCAAAGTTATCTCCATCTTAGCTGCCATTTTGGGGCTCAGGAGACAGCTTCTCTCTCCTTGTAAACAGCTCAAGCCTGAGGGATCATGGCCCTGGGGAAGTCTTTCTAAATGCTAGAAACGAAGTTCTTCTGAAGATGTTGAGAACAGGATACAGACAAGGCCTTCTCATTCGCTGGCCTTGACTCCAAACTCTAGAAGACAACACAGTTCCCGGGAGTGGAAAGAATCTGTCTTTCCACCAGTTTCTATAACTGTCTTGTGAAGGAGAAAAGTCATAACATCCTAAAAGGAAATTGGGGAAAATACTGCTTTTATTTTAGCGACAAGCGCACAAAGTCTCAGAAGAAATGCGCCATATGACCTAAGGGGCAGACAGGAATCATTAGGAAAAGTTCAAGTTGTCAGACAGCCTGTATTAACTGTCCCGCATTCTGGTTAGGCAGACCTCCGGCATGTCGCCGGGAGCTACAGGGTGATCCTAGGCAGGCCACGGCGCAGCCGGGAGTTAGGAGTTAGCGAAAGCCTCCTGCTCGAGAGCAGGGTAGTCGGAGACACGGTGGTGGCTCATTCCAGAGGCTCCGAAGGCCCAGCCGCTCCGGCCTCTGAGAGAACCCGGCTCGGGCCCCGCGCCCTAGCTGTCCCCAGGTTTGGTGAAGCTCCTGCACTCCGGGACGCGCCGCCAGTTCAAGGCCGGGTGCAAACCCGAGCTGGCTCCTAGGAAGGCAGCATCGCCGATAGGCCCGCACCCCGCGCCCACCTGCAGCGGACTCACCTCTCTGGGGACCAGGAAACCAGAACCCAGGAGCCAGGGCTGGGGGCGGGGCAGAAGCCTCCCGTCGCGGACACTCCCACTGGCTGCGGAGGAACTACGCAATAGAAGATCCCGCCTTCTCCCGAGAGTGATTGGCTTTTCGAGGACAGTCTCTTCTGTCTATTGGCTGCTGTATCTGTCGATGCTAACGAGGAACGGCGCTCAGCCGTCCTAGTGAACTCCGGGAGTTGTAGTCCGTTGGCTCGGCCCGCGAGCATTCGCAGAGGTCCGACTAGCGCCAGGGCTAGTGGGCTGACTTCCGGCCCAACCGCTGAATGACTTTCCAGAGTCGTGAGTGCGTGCGTCTGTCTGGTGAGTGCTCTGCTTACTCCAGCCTAAGGGCTTGCAGCTGGGAACCACGCCGTCCTGGGTGTCTTTTGCCGCCGGAGTCTTTTCAGGGTGGTCGGGCCAGTCCCGGGCGCCTCTCACGTGCTCCGCGGTCACCTTCTTGTGTCCCGGAGCCCTTGGTCCACCCGAGCAGACCAGGTCGGGTTCCGATCTCTGAGCCCGGGCCTGGACTCCTTCCGACCTGTGACCCTAATGGTCTCATCCCCATCTCGCTGGAGCGAGAGCCTGCGGATGTTTTCCCCAGCCACTTCGGCCACAGTACCGAACCTTTTTAGCATCGTGTGCACTAGGAGTACTCAGTGCGCCCTTGACGAGTGAAAGTGAATCAATCTGGACCTCATTATCATCCTGCTTTCCGCTGAGTGGATCATCGCTTGAGAGAAACACGTTTTTGAGGGACCAGAATTTAAAAATTAAGTATGAATAGGATGTCAGGGGTTAAGAGGAGTGCCGGCTCTGCCTTCTGCATGAAACTAGGATAGCATTTATTAAATTATTCTTTCAGATAAAGTACAGATGTACGAAAATGTGTAAGGCAGCGGGTGGGGGTACAAGTTTTAGTCCTGGGCTTGCTGCTGAGGAGCAATGCTATGTGATGCTCTTTTTTTTTAAAAAAAGAACTTTTTACAGCAATGCTTTTGAATTCTCTATCTCTAGCCCCTACTGTCACATTTGAAATGTCAAGAGACTATATATGAAGAAAGTTCAAGTACTTTGGAAGAAAGGCAACCTGAATCTTTTGTTGTTGTTAATCCTCACCTGAGGATATTTTTCTATTGATTTTAGAGAGAGTGTGAAGGAGGAAGAGGGGGAGAGACAGACAGACATCGAGAAGACATCTATTGGTTGCCTCCTGCATGACCCTGATCAGGGCCAGGAATGGAACTCACAACCCAGTTATGTATCTTTGACCGGGAATCGAACCCGCAACCCTTCATTGGAGAGCCGGTGCTCTAACTGCTGAGCCAAACTGGCCAGGTATGAATCCATTTTTTTTTTTTATAAGTAATTGTTTTACTCCTGTAAACAGGCTCACCCCTTTGGTGGAGAAGTGGAATATTGAGTGGGACTTAATTGCAGATAGTTCTAACCTTACATCCTTCCAAGTTAGCAGTTACCAAGAAATTGAACTTCTCCCACCCAACCTATATGTCAAATCTCAGAGAAGAATTTTGACAGGCCAGCCTTTTCAGATGCCCACTACTCAGGTAAGGAAAAGGATACTGTAATGATGAATAGCCCCACCAGAGCCATTGAAATAAACAGGGGTGCTTTCAGAAAGGAAGATGCTGCTGTTATCAGAAGTGAGGAAGGAATGCTGGGGGAGGGGACAAACCAAAACACTCATTTATCATCCACATGGTGTGTGTGTGTGTGGTGGTGGTGGTAGGGAGGAGGTTGTCACAGTGATAAAGAGGTTAATCCACAGGCACTCACATACTATTCTCTCCTTAAGAGAAAGTGACAGTTGGAAAGGTGGGCCCAGGCTTCTTGAGGGTGGGGAAGGGCAGGGACAAGACCCACACGTAGGGAACATAAGAAGGAATGGCTGGACTACACTGTGAGTAGTTTAAGGAATTTATTAGCATAGAGAAATCTAGCTGGGAGAAAACTTTTTTCATATTTCTAGTCCTTTGGGTCCTTGGCTTAGATTGTGGAGGGAGTAAAGGAGAAGGATAGAAATAAATCACAAGAAGCAGAGGGTCTTTCTCTCTCCCCTCCCCCCCTCCCTCTCTCTCTTCCTCTCCCTCCCTCCCTCTCCTCTCTCTCCTCTCTCTTCCTCCCTCCCTCCCTATCCTCTCTCTTAAGCCTCTCTCCCCATGCCTTTCCCCACCCCCTTCCCCCAGGTGTTTTCCTTGCCTCTCCCTTTCTCCTAAGCTCCAAGGGCCATTTTTATGCCTCTGGAACTGTTTCCTGAGCCCATTTCTCCTAGGGCTAACTTCTACTTCTGTAACTTTCTATATAAACTTTTGCTTACATTTGAGTCTTGGCTCAGAACTCAAGTACCAAGGTTGCTGACTAGAGGTCTGGCCTACCTTGTCACTAATGCCTCCACTCCTCCCCTTAGCTATAAAAAAAGAGAGAGAGAAAGAGAGGGAAGGAATATGAGACAGTTTTATGCTGTGTTTTTCCATTCTTCCTTCAAAGTTGAGCCCTTTCCTTTTATTGATTTGTAGAGAAGGAGAGGGAGAGAAACAGAGAGAGAGAAAGAAACATTGATTTGTTCCACTTATTTATACATTTATTGGTTGATTCTTGTATGTTCTCTGACAGGGGATTGAATCCAAAACCTTGGAATATTGGGACGACACTAACCAACTGAGCTATCTGGCCAGGGTCGCCCTTTTCAGTTGTGATTCTGCACATCTATGGCACTCTCACGTCTCTGATTCCTTTGGTTGGTATCCAGGAGAACCGCTTCCCAGTGGTATGAAAAGAGATGGAATCTGAACCCCAGGGTGGAAGTGGCCACCACTGAACCAGCTCTTAAAGCCAATGATGTCTGCAACAAAGAGTCCCCAGGCATACCCATCCCCAAGCAAGGACTCTACACAGGGACAGAAATCAGCCCTTCACAACAGCCTTGACTATGAAGCTTCCTACCAGCGCTTCAGGCAGTTCTGCTACCAGGAGGTAGCTGGTCCCCATGAAGCTTTTAGCACACTCTGGGAACTCTGTTGTCAGTGGCTGAGACCTAAGACACACTCAAAAGAGCAAATCCTGGAGCTGCTGGTTTTGGAGCAGTTTCTCACCATCTTACCAGAGGAGATCCAGACCTGGGTGAAGAAGCAGTGTCCAGAAAATGGTGAGGAAGCTGTGGCTCTGGTTGAGGATGTACAGAGAGTACCTGGGCAACAGGTGAGAAAAGGAAGTCAGAACCTTGTGGTTTTGATTATGAGAAGTTGGGGTGAGAAGCACAGGAATCTAGTTACTGCAAAGGTGCTTAATTGAGAAATGCACACTATCCCTCTGCCACCCACCAAAGTACTAGCTAGCTTGAGTTGGTCCTGTGCCGTTAGGCCATGGGAAGAATTTCTCGTTTGCTGAAATAACTTAGACATTCATATATTCAGTGAATGTTTAGAGCCCCTAATTAAAGTGGTAAAAATACTTAGAACAGTTCTCCAAAACAAGATCAGGGAAAGGACAACTATCCTTTATTAAGGAGGTCAGGAAAATTAGAAACATTGTGAATTCAAAAATAATGTCTCTTGCTAGAAGGTCCCTTGCGGGCACAGTGCCATGGGTGGTACACTAAACAAAGTTGTGTTAGAGTTGGTCCTTGCTGCCTGGATTAACTGGTCAGTCAGGAACAGTGACCAGTTTCACAAAATATCCTCATGTGGAGGTAGGGCCTGGGTCTGAGATCCGATTAGTGTAAGCATCTCGTATATTATGGGAGAAGGGAGGTGTAAAGGAGCAGGAGAAGGAAAAGTAAAATGAGGGCTTTCGTTGTGGGAGATTTGGTGTAAAAAGGCAGCTGAAATCTAGATTAGAAGTCTGGGAGAGGCATAGAGTAACTGAGGAGTGTGGGTCAGAGGAATGCTGTAACCTAAGTGGGTCTGTGGTCTGAGCAGGAAGCAGCTAGCTGAGTCTGCATGGCTGGAACAGGAGGTGTTTGTTTCCCAGTGAGAAGGTGGGATGTAAATGAAATTTTGCAATTTTGACATATTTGGAGAGGGGAAAGCAGCGTGGTGGTGATGCATTAGGTAAGAAATTGAAGAAGGTAGCCCTGGCCAGTTTGGCTCAGCGGTTAGAGCATTGGCCTGTGGTCCAGAGAGACCCGGGTTCGGTTCCCGCTAAGGGCATGTACCTCGGTTGCAGTTCGTCCCAGGCCCTAGTTGGGTTGTGCAGGAGGCAACCACTCGATGTGTCCCTTTCACGTCAATGCTTCTCTCTCTCTCTCTCTCTCTCTCTCTCTCTCTCTCTCTCTCTCTCCCCCCCTTCCACTCTATCAGAACCAAAACTGGAAAAATGTCCTTGGGTGAGGATAAGAAAAACAAACAAAAAAAAGAAATTGAAGAAGGTATTTAAAATCCATGGGATTGGGACTGTTAATGATAATTAGAATGGAGTGGAGAAGGGCAAGCAATAGCACATTTATGAAGTTAGAGTTTGGAGAGATGAACTACATGGAGTGGGAAACCCTATTTGCTAATAATCATCCTGGTGCCAGTCCCACACCATTTTATTTTTTAAAATCCTCACCCGAGGATATTTTTCCATTTATTTTCAGATAGAGTGGGTGGGAGAGAGGGAGAGAGAGAGAGAGAGAGAGAGAGAGAGAGAGAGAGAGAGAAACCGAGGTATGTGCCCCTAATGGGAATTGAACCCGTGACTCTGGTCCGTGGGCTGATGCTCCAACCACTGAGCCAAACCGGCCAGGACTCCCCCACCATTTTAAAACCAAACTCTTAATAGGAATGAAAACAGTACAGGAATGTAAGGGTTAAAACAGCTGTTTGAAACCTATCATGGTAGTGAAGTGGAGGAGAGCAAGAAGTGGAGGTGAGAAGTACTAACAGAGGATGATACTATTTTTCAGGACCTAGCTGCCTCTCAGTACCTCTCCTCAAGCACTTTAAGGACAAAGTATAAGCTTGGGATTTAAAGAATGAAGTTGACTATGAAAGAAAAAAGTTGTGCAAAGAGCTGAGAGAGCACAGGAGCCCCAGGGCACGCACACTCCCAAGAGCCTTAGGTGGGAGAGGACTTTGCATTTTTGAAATAGAATATAGGGTTTGTGACTAGAGGTTTAGGATTAAGAAGAGTTGTATGAGAGAAAGTGAGAGAGGAAGGCGGGGGCCATGTCATGCAGGGCCTTTCAGGCTGTGAAGAGGAATTTGGATTTTATTCTGTATGCAGTGGGAAGCCACCGTAGAGTGTTAACAGAGATGGATATGATTTTATATATTTATTTATTTATTTTTAATGTTTTTATTGATTTTTTAGAAAGAGAAGGAGAGAGGGATAGAAACATCAGTGTGAGAGAAACATCAATTGGCTGCCTCCTGCACACCCCCTACTGAGGATCGAGCCTGCAACCCAGGGATGTGCCCTGACTGGAAATCCAATCCGGACCTCTCAGTCCATGAGACGACGCTCAGTCCACTGAGCCACACTGACCAGGCTGATCTTATATTTTTAAAGATCTACTGGATTCTGTGTAGAGGAGAATGGATTAGAGGATCCAGCAGCTGAGATAATGCAGGGCAGACAATTAAGCTGCAATGACAGCAGTCCAATCCAATCCAGATAAGATAGTGTCCTTAAATAGGCTGGAGAGTACAGAGATAGAATGAGGACCGATGTAAGGGATCTTTTGAAGGTGGAACCGATTGCATTTCGTCATGTATGGATTTGGTGGGAGAGGAAATGGCAGTAGTGCTGAGATCACAGGAGTTTTCTAAAGTATACCACTTTTAGCACTTCTGATGTGTCAGGCTTTATACTAGGTATTTCCGATGGGGGCACATGTTTTTTCTAAACAAACTGAGACAAGTAAAAACAAAAAAATAAAGCTTTGAAAGAAAGACAAAAATATATTCTGGGGATTGTAAAGTCCAGCATAGGCAGGAATGTGCAGTGACTGCTGAGGGGGGTCTGTTCTCAGGTCCTGGATCCCGAGAAGGACTTGAAAGTGCTCCTCCAGGAGACAGCCCCTTTGGGAGCAGGCAGAGAATTACTGAAATCACATCTGAAACGGGGTTCTTCTAGAGGAACAGACTTTGAAGGGGTCACAGAGCTCACACCAAACACCACGGGAACATTCAGAAGGTAAGCAGAAGCCTTCGCCCTCACCTGAGGTGGGGCAGGAGCAATCATCTGTGGGAAATGCAGGTCTGAGCTGGAGTTTACCCCTGGGTTCCAGATTAAATGCCTTTGAAATATACCTAAAAAACAAAATTTCAAATTAGTTGATGGAATTCCTTTGCTTGTTAGCCAGATTCTCTTTTATTACAATTTAATTCTATTATTTTGGAACCAGTTGTATTAAGATGAACATGTTTACCGTGACCTTCTGCATAGCAGTTCCTTCTGTACTTAAAGACATTAAGTAAATTCCCAGCTCAGAGAGACAGTAAGAGAAACACAGAACAGGAGACAACAGGTAAGAGATGAGAGAACGTGTGTCTCACACCAGAGCTGTGATGTCCTGAGTTGCAGAGGAAATTAATAAACCAGCCCAACTGTAACAGTCCATTTCTATGCCCAGGCCCTTCAAAAGGCACCAAGAACCCTTTGTCAGTCTCAGGACTGATCATTTCCCTTCCTCAAATCAGTTCTGCCTCATCTGGTCTGCTCGTCTTCAGAGAAGTGTCCCTGACCAGCAGATTCAGATAGTTACTCTGCAGCTGGCTTTGGCCTTGGTATTTCCTCCCTGCTTTTTCACATGCAGGGTTTCCCATTTGTGGTCTGAATGTCATCTCTGGGCTAAATCACAGAAAACACACAGGGACCCCAGATATTTACTGCTGCAGAGGGAAGAAAAGTTCTAAGCGTTCCACAGTTGAGACTTGAGTCTTAGCCCATGAGACTCTAGCAAAGGGGAACAATAAAATAAAGGGTGATGCAAAGCAGCCAGACTTTGCGGATGGGAAAGTAGCAGGTGCACCCTTGGCCGCTGATGAAACCAGTATTATTCCTGTCTGTTCTCAGTGAGCCTTGGTTTTACAAGAAACTCCTAGTGTACTAGTACAGCAGTCAGCTATATGGGAAGTCACTGAGATTTTCTGTGAACATTTCCACCAGACTCTGGAGCAATATCAAGGGAAACAGGGCCACAACCCAGAGCCATGTGCCTCTCAGTAAGAGATGAAACCTCTACTGGCCTCACAGTGCTCCTCTAGTTCTTCTAGGAGCTTGGCAGACAGGGCTATTGAGACCAAAGGGCCAAGCCAAACCCTCAGAAGCAGAAAGAGGTGGGGTATGAGGACACATTGGAAAACTCAGATAGCTAAAAATTGGACAGCAAGCAGTCAGTCCTGAACATTGGGAGTCCTGGCATGACAGCCTGCCCCAGAGACACCTGGGTGAGGACCTTTCTACACGTGTCCTGGTACTGATTGCTTATAAGCAAACTGCTTCCCAACAATGAGCCTTGACCTCCAGCTAGAAATAGAAGATGGTTCTTGTTTCCTCGCTGTTGGGGGTACATTGGGATAAAAGCTATAGTGGATACTCAGTGTACAGCCATTTATTGGTCATATGCTGGTTATATATAGGGGAAAGCAGTACCTAAACCCTTCTGTTGCCTGGGTAATCCAGGGGATTTTGTTTTCAGTTGTGAAAATGGAGCCCAAAGCCAGATATATTACTGTCACCAAAGTAATGTTATTACTAATTGAGTAGGTGTGAGAACTAGATTTTGTTGATAGAATATAAAGTATGATGGTGACATTGGCCTGAGGAATGAGTACTGCATTCTCTGTGGAAGGTGGGTGATGTCCTAGTAGGAGCCACTGTGTGAATTCAAGAGGCTGTCATTAGTCTAGGAATCAGGTTCCATTGCAGCTGCAGGGTAATGGAGCAGAGTAAGAATGATCGAGCGTAGAGGGCATAGGGTAGATTGTGAGGGTAGTGCTCATTGACAAAATGACATTTGAACAAAGCCTAGGAGAAGAAAGAATGAGCCATGTGGTTCTCTGGGAAGACTGTAACACACAGGAAGAATAGCCAATGCAAAGATTCTGAGGCTGGAAGTGAGTCTGGGCAAGGAGGCCACTGATCTACTGCAGACTGAGAGGATGACAGTAATAAATAAGATCCATGAGCCAGATCACATAGGGCAGTGCTTTTGGAAGTGATGTGAACTGAAATTGAGAGTAAGTGTTCAGAATTTTTATTTTATTTTTTTAAAATCCTCACCTGAGGATATTTTTCCATTTATTTTCAGATAGAGTGGAAAGGAGGGGTAGAGAGAGAGAAACACCGATGTGAAAGAGACACATAGATTGGTCGTCTCCCACACGACCCCAACCAGGGCCGGGGACCAAACCGCAACTGAGGTACATGCCCTTGACCAGAATTGAACCCTTGACTCCTTGGTCCATGAGCTGATGCTCTGACTGCTGAGCCAAATCAGCCCGGGCAAGTGTTTACAATTTTTTTTTATAGCAGTTTGACATTGCTGTACTATCCAGCTGAATTTTTATTGTACTTTTTTCTTTATTGACTTTAGAGAGATAGGAACATTGATGAGAGAGAACATCTATTGGCTGCCTCCTACATGCCCCTCACTGGGGATTCGGCCCACAACCTGAGCATGTGCCCTGATGGGGAATCAAACCAGTGACCTCTTGGTGCATGGGTCAGTGCTCAACCATTTAGCCACACTGGCTGGGCATTTTATGTACTTTTAAAACAATAGTTTTTCAGCCCTGGCCAGTTTGGCTCAGCGGTTACAGAGTGTCGGCCAGTGGTCTAGAGAGTCCCGGGTTCGGTTCCTGCTAAGGGCACATACTTCGGTTGCGGTTTGTCCCTGGGGTCGTGTTGGTGGCAACAAGTCAATGTGTGTCTTTCACATCGATGTTTCTCTCTCTCCTTTTCTCCCTCCCTCCCTCCTGCTCTATCTGAAGATAAATGCAAAGAGGTCCTCGGGTGAGGATTTAAAAAAATGGTTTTTCAAAATTCATTTGGGAATCACTAAGACAGCACCTTCAGTCCCTACATAAAAGACTTTGTAAGAACTTTGACTTTCTCAGGTATAAGGGGGTAGGTTGCAGGGGAGTGATAGTTTTAAAGTAACTTTGAATATTTCAACTTATTTGGCATTTAACTCTACTTAAAGACTTGTTTATGATTTTTTTTTTTTAATCCTCAGCCAAGGACATTTTTCGATTTTTTGTTCAGATAGAGTGGGAGGGAGAGAGAGAGAGACAGAGAGAGAGAAACATCTACATGAAAGGGATACATTGAGTGGTTGCTGCCCGCACGACCAACCAGGACCAGGGACAAACTGCAACCGAGGTCCACGCCCTTAGCAGGAACCGAACCTGGGTCTCTCTGGACCACAGGCCGACGCTCCAAACGCTGAGCCAAACCGGCCAGGGCTATGATTCTTATATGTTACACTTTTTTAAAGATTGTGGCCTCCTTGAAGGCAAGATCCATGTCATATTCATATTTGCATTTCTCAGAACCTAGCACAGTAGGCACTCAATACACGTTAGTTGAATTTAATAAAAAGGAGAGGGGCCACGTTGACTGCTGTTTTGAGAACAGACTGCAGGAAGTCAAGAGAAGGAAAAAGACCAAGGAGACCACTATGGCATAATCCAGGCATGAGATGATGGTGGCTCAGAGCAGAGTGGACTAGAAGGGGTGATGAGAGAGGCTGTGTGCCCTTCAGAGCATTACAACCAGATATAATCAGAATACACTTGCTGGGCCAGTTCTAGCCAAATGAACCTTCATCAGCTGGCCCAAATGGACACCACTTAAATGGCACGCTGGGCCTCACCTGGGTGTAGGCGTGTGTGCTGAGTGATCTAGTTTCACCAGACAGCCTGAACTGCTCTGTTCAGACATTAACTGCTTATTCTGATCTTGGGATAATAACTGATATTTCTTGCTTCTACAAGGATGACAGGAGATGCTACAGATGGAGATGGGCAGATCAGGTGGTACTCAGGCATCAGAAGTGGAAGTAGGCAGATGTCTCCTATGGTCTGCTCTTCTCTCCTCTGAATCTTTGCTTCCCTCCGAGTCTTGCCTGTTCACCATATCCTCTTAGATGGTCCCACCCTCTAAGGGATTCCTGGCAGTGTGGAAACGGGCAATCACTACCCTTATTGAGTCATCTCTCAGGGAAAATAACTGGGACTCAGGATAATTAAAGAGAAATAAGCCCTGGCCGGTTTGGCTCAGCGGTTAGAGCGTCGGCCTCCGGTCCTGAGAGACCCGGGTTCGGTTCCCGCTAAGGGCGTGTACCTCGGTTGCAGTTTGTCCCCGGCCCTGGTCGGTCGTGCGGGTGGCAGCCACTCGATGTGTTCGTTTCACGTTGATGTTTCTCTCTCTCTCTCTGTTCCTCTTTCTCCCTCCCACTCTACCTGAACAAAAAAATGGGAAAATGTCCTTGGGTGAGGATAAAAAAAAAAAAAAAAATGCCCTGGCCGGTTTGGCTCAGCGGTTAGAGCATCGGCCTGCGGTCCAGAGAGACCCGGGTTCGGTTCCCGCTAAGGGCATGTACCTCGGTTGCAGTTTGTCCCCGGCCCTGGTTGGTCGTGCGGGTGGCAGCCACTCGATGTGTCTCTTTCACGTCGATGTTTCTCTCTCTCTCTTGTCCTCTCTCCCTCCCACTCTATCTGTGCAAAAAATGGAAAAATGTCCTCAGGTGAGGATAAAAAAAAAAGAGAGAAATAAAAAGGGTAGTTTTAGTAAATACACTACGATCATTCTCAGTTGGAGAGGATGTCTTGTCTAGTACATTGAAAGTTTTTGTTTTAGGAAAAAGGTCCACAGTGAGATACCTTCCAGGAATGGTGGTAGCCAGTTCTGTCATATATTGAGAAACTTGTATATTGGGCTGCTAAAATCCTGCACTGAGGTATCCAGTCTTTCTGATCTGATCCCTATGTTCTTTGTCCTATGGTGCAGGTATGCACTGAGGCTATGAGACCAAGACATTCCTAGCCTCTCTCAGCAATTCAGACCCATCAGCAGAACACCCCGATCTACAGGCTGTGGGGAAAGAACTCCAGGAGCAGAGTTTTCTGGGGACCTCAGAGCAGTGTCACACCAAGTTCAAAAGCCTATAGTCAGGTTACTGCAAAATGAGGAGAGGTCGTGTGCCTGATCCTTTTAAAACAATTTTTTTTCTTTATTGATTTTAGGGAGAGAGAGATAGAAACATCTGTGAGAGAGAACATTGATTGGCTCCCTCCTGCATGCCCCCCGCTGGGGATTTGGCTCACAACCTGGGCATGTGCCCTGACCCAGAATCGAACCAGTAACCTCTTGGTGCATGGGTCAATGCTCAACCACTGAGCCACACCGGCTGGGCTGATCCTTGTATTTTTTGTGAGGAAATGGATGCTCTTTCAAGCTCCTTTGCACCTCCAGTGGCAAGTGGTGCTTTTTCTGGTCAAGAGGGAAGTAACATGGAGTATAGAGAGCCAAGTCAGCAGTACAGGGAGTCCACAGAGGCTGGAGAAGATACCACTGTAGATGATGTAGTGAGGGAGGAACATGGCTTCAAGGTTCCTGGCCAGGAAATTAGGGTATTTGACCTGCCAGTCCTGTTCCCAAATGCAATTCATAAGACTCTTGGCTCTGATGATTAAACATTGGGAGAGTACACTTAGAAAGGTTTGTTTCTGCTCCTGGTCTTGTCATCTTCTTGATGAATGACCGTATACAGGCCAGAGAGTTTTGATTTTCATGAAATTTAAGGATTATTTCCCTTGCATTTTAGAGCCCTGATTTTGCATTTGCTGGTCTCTTTCCCAGAGTCCGAGTCATTTTTTTCTCATGAAGTTTCACTTACCTTCCTTCCTTAGATTTGCCAGTTAGGACTCCAGCCCAGATTCTCTCCTGTTCCCTCCTTTCATAACCTGAATATTGCCAGATACTCAGAAACTTGCATTGTTCTTGTTTCAGCTGCCCAAACTCAGGTTGGTTTTTTTTTTTTTTATCCTCACCCAAGGACATTTTTTGATATTTTGTTCAGCTACAGTGGGAGGGAGAGAGAGAGAAACATCAACGTGAAAGGGACACATCGAGTGGTTGCCACCCACACGACCCAACCAGGGCCGGGGACAAACCACAACCGAGGTACATGCCCTTAGCAGGAACCGAACCCGGGTCTCTCCAGACCGCAGGCTGACGCTCTAACCGCTGAGCCAAACCGGCCAGGGCCAGGGTGGTTTTTTTTTTTTTTTTTTTTAAATTTTTTTCCTTTATTGATTTTAGAAAGAGAGGAAGGGAGAGGGAGAAAGGGATAGAAACATTGATGACAGAGAACATTGATTGGCCACCTCCCGCATGCCCCCCACTGGGGATCGGGCCCACAACCTGGGCATGTGCCCTGACCAGGAATCAAACCGGCAACCTCTTGGTGCCTGGGTTGATGATCAACCACTGAGCCACACTGGCTGGGCCAGGGTGTTTTTTTATGATTCTGCTCCCAGAAGCTAGGTCATTCAAGAATTGAGAATACAGTCATCCCTCGTTTATCATGGTTAATTCATTCCAGTCTCTAGTGGTTGCACCTGGCGTTGAAGGATTCCTGGGGTTCTCGAATACATAGGCCTACAGTGCATACGTACAATAATTTTAATTTTAATTGTAATACAGGGGTGTATAATTGAGTCAGACAACTGAGCGCATGTGGTAGCATTTTCACTGCCTCGATCAACTTTTTAATGAATATATTTGAAAAAAACACAATAGAGTGAAGCTGCGAAAGTCGAAGCGTGAAGTGATGGAAAACTGTACACCTATAGACACACTGACATTTGACACTGAGCTTAACACTTTACTTCAGTTCTGTCATCATGTCAGAACATACAAAAAGATACAATAGGAGAAAAGTAAGGGGGGTATATGGTTTATCAACCAGTGACCATATATTTGGAGTCAAAAAGTATTACAATTGGAAAATAAAATTTAGGCTTTTCATTAGCAGAGCTCTGAGTCACATGAGGATTTCCAATTAGGAATTTCTTCTTATGGTAGTTTAATTGTAACTCTTTCCTCATTCCATTGTTTTCCTTCTCAAGAGTCCAATGTAATTTTTTCTTTCAGGTTCTGAGATGAAGAATGGGGTTAAAAAAGAGAATCTGAAATGGGATGATTCAGAAGAAGTAGAAATGAACAGAGCTTTACAGGGAAAGTCTAGTGGAAAAGATTTTTGGCCCTTTGAGCTAAAAACAGGCTGGGAAGGTGAGCCGATGTCAAGAAAGCAACGTAGACATTGTCCAGGGGAGAGTGAAGAGATACCCTCATCCCAGGATAGAATGAGTCACCAGAGACTTTGGACTGAGAAGCCCTGGACACATCTCTTGTGTGGGAGAAAATGGTCTCAGAGTTCTCCCTTCTCGCATCACCAGCCAGCTTCTGGACTGGAAAAAGCTGCTAGATGTCACGAATGTGGGGAAAGCTTTAGCCGAGGCTCTTACTTGTCCGGCATCAGAGAATCCACACAGGAGAGAAGCCTCACAAGTGCAGTGAATGTGGGAAAGGCTTCAGTGAGTGCTCCAACCTCACTGCCCACCTGAGGACTCACACTGGGGAAAGACCATACCAATGTGGGGAATGTGGGAAAAGCTTCAATCAGAGCTCCAGCCTCATTGTCCACCAGCAGACCCACACTGGGGAGAAGCCTTATCAGTGCCCTGTCTGTGGGAAGAGATTCAACAACAGTTCCCAGCTTAGTGCTCACTGGCGAGTCCACACTGGGGGGAGCCGAACAAGTGTGCCCAGTGTGCCCAGTGTGGGAAAAGCTTCAACAACAGCTCCCACTTCAGCGCCCACCAGAAAACCAACACTGAAGAAAAGCTATACAATTGCTTTTTTCAGTGTGCGAAAAGCCTCACTAAGAACTTGGCCCTCATCCACCATCAGGACACACATAAATGAGATACATCACAGGAAGGAAGAGATATGCCGAGTTTGTAGAAAACCTGACACCTCAACTCCTAGGTCAGCAGGTGTTTCGTAGAGCTTCCTTCTTCTGTGGAGAGTTCCACTAGCCAAAACCTGGCTTAAACATGATGACTGGATCTCAAGAACCATGTCCTGGAATAGGAATCAGCCTAACAATGCCGAGTTCTTGTTCTCCTTCTGCCTATAATTTCACAGTCCTGTCTCACTGTGGATTTACATTTTGCTTTGAAGGGGAGAAGGCTATAAAACCCATAATTCCTGCCCTGGCTGGTTTGACTCAGAAGTTAGTGTTGGCCTGCGGACCAGTGAGTCCCAGGTTTATTCCAGTCAACGGCATGTACCTCAGTTGTGGTTCATCCCCAGCCCTGGTTGGGTCATGTGGAAAGCAGCCAGTCAATATGTCTCATATTGATGTTTCTCTCTCTCCCTCCCTCTGTCTCTCTGCCTCCCTCCCACTCTGTCTGATGATAAATAGAAAAATATCCTTGGGCGAGGATTTAAAAAAAACAACCATAATTCCTGACAAGAAACTAGGGTAGCCTTGTTCTAACACAGAATGCGTGGCTAGTGGTGAGACCTATTTCTGGGCCATGTCAGGGAAGAAATTCCCTGTCCAGAATATTAACAGCTTATATGTGTTTTAAACCAATAATTGACCTTTAGGCATACTACTGCAACCTTCAGGGCAGATCACTATTCCGTAATGCAGCCATGAACAAAGGAAAGAAAGGACAGTTTAGACCATTGGGTAATAATACTAAATCTAAGCAACCCAATCTTAGAAGAAGCATAATTTCTAGGTTAATTTTGTAAGATTTCTCATCTTACCATCACCCCCAACCCAGTTCTTAGTTTCTTCTCTCACAAAGTTTACACAAGTTTACAAGCATTACTATTTCTGATGAAAATAATGGAGTTTCTCTCTCCATTTCCTTGGACTATGGTTGTAATTTTCTCAATTAGAAACTTTACACTCATGTAACTGCCATTAGGGCCCTGAAGATTAAGTGTAGAATCTGCTTGAGGTCAGTAGGACATGCAGAGAGAGAATAAGGAGCAAGAAACAGGGAGAAGAGGAATAGAACATGGAAGGAAGGGTTTGAGGTTGCAGTGAAGGGAGATCATTGGCATAAGGAAAATAATAGGAACTGCAGGAGGCTGTTACTGCAGGTAAAAGGAAGAGTGAGGAGTACTAGGAACCAAAATTGAAACTTAATGATCCAGAACAAGACAGATATTTCAGCTTCTGTGAAATCTCCATAGATAATAAGTGGTAAAAGATGGGTATGTTACACACAGTTCTTGGCCTTTATAAGCAAGATGTTAGTACCGTGGTGAGGCTATGTTGAGAAGCAAGTGATGTGGTCTTTCAGTTTTTTTGAGGAATTCAGTATGAGCAGAGAAGAATACATTGCACCTCAAAGGCAAAAAAAATTCATTTTTCTAAATTTTGAGGAAGAAGCAAAGGCAGTACAGAAGAATATTCAGTGTTTCCTCAGTTTGAGCCTTGCTGGGGCCATCCTATGTTTCCCTGCATATAGTGTCCTTGAGCATGGGCCTTATTGACAAGCTATGCAGGCCAGTTCCTAGAGTCACATACATACTCTGCATAGAGGCAAAAATTAACGTGTTTCAAAATCTGGAAACGCAGAGTTGGGTTTGAATGTAATCTGTTTGGAACAGCCTGACTTTGGAGATTCTTGATGGGAAAGAAGGAAATAGCCCGAGATGGATATATTATTGAGGGGCTTTGGATATGAGCTTGAAGATGTTAGATTTGATAATGAGCAGAGTCAGTGAAAGTCAATGGAAATGCTAAGGAAGTGGAAATACTCAATGAGGCCTCACTATCGGGATTCTCCCACTGTGGGTTTGCAGTGACCAGGGACACTGATGTAACTATTGCCCTCCTTGCAGTTTAAGTTGCCTCTACCCTCCAAATTGCTTTATTCTCGAGTATGCTGGGCAGAGAAAGAAATGCTGTACTAGACCTCATAACCCTTGCCTAAGAGCTATTATGGATGGTCTGGAGTAGAAAGATAAGAATTGGAGCATACATTCATTTGAGTAATATTTGATTGCCTATAGCATACCAGGTATTGTAGTGAAGGTAGATGCAAAGCAGTGAACAAAGACACTATCTGGAACCATCCTCATTGGACCCCTCAGAAATGCCAGTGCCAGTCAGGTACCACCACTTAGCCACCCCCACCCCCCAATATATGAATGCCACCACTGCAAGGCCTTTCTTCCAAGCTTCCAAGTTCTGATAAGCATAAACTTTTCCTTGTATTCTCCCAACCCCATGTGTGGTAGTTGCTTCCTATAGTTGTGATCTCTGTTACCTTGGTGTCTACCTATCATTTGCCTAACAGCCTGATACTATACTACCTACCCACTTGAGAATGACATTGAAAGAGGCTGTTTAAAAGGCAACATCCCTTGCCAGGCCAGTGTGGCTCCATGGTTGAGTGTTGACCCATGCACCGAGAGGTCACTGGTTCAATTCCCAGTCAGGGCATGTGCCCAGGTTGTGGGCCCAAGCCCCGGTGTGGGGCATGCAGGTTCTCTCTCATCGATGCTTCTATCTCCCTCTCTAAAATCAATAAAGAGGGGGGAAAAAGTTGGAAAGGCAACACCCTGCCCTGGCTGGTTTGGCTCAGCGGTTAGCGGTCTGTGGACCAGTGAGTCATGGGTTCGGATCCAGCCAAGGGCATGTACCTTGGTTGCAGTTCGTCCTTGGCCCTGGTTGGGGTTGTGCGGGAGGCAGCCACTTGATGTGTCCCTTTCACGTCGATGTTTATTCCTCTCTCCCACTCTATCTGAACAAGATGGGAAAATGTCCTCATGTGAGGATAAAAATAAATAAAAGGCAACACCCCTATATCTGTAAGTTCTTCAGATGTGTAATATTACCCTCTTGGTTTGGTTCAGCCGTTCAGATGTTCATTAAAAAGCCAGGTTTTCCTGCTATAAATTAACAACTAGGGCTCTTCGTATGGTTTCTTTACCTCCCTCCCTCAGTGAAACATTTCATTTTTATTTATTTAATTGATTATTTAGAGAGATAGAAACATCTATATGAGAGAGATACATTGATCGGCTACCTCTTCCATGCCCCCTACTGGGGATCAAGCCTACAACATAGGCATATGCCCTGACCAGGAATCGAACCAGGACCTCTCAGTCCATGGGATGATGCTCAATCCATTGAGCCACACCAGCTGGGCCTCACTGAAACATTTTGACTAATTGATCTAAATTTTCAATTGACACTTCCTTTTTTCCAAGGATTCCTAACCACTTCCCATAGATTGGATCAGATATTCTAATTATAATCCAGATAAATGAAGCACAAAGCCTATCAATTTTCACACATCTATTGTGGTTCTTCAGCCTAAGGTGGTGGATGGGTGGTCACAGCCAAAGCAAGAGCTGGGCCCCTATAACCTCCTTACCTCCACTTTCCTCTTTCCACCTCTTCTGTTCCGTCTGTAAGGGAACTGCCTTACCAGTCAGTTTAGGAACAGCTCAGGACTTTTGGTATCCTGAACTAGAGTGCCCATTTCATGGCTCACTTCATCATGGATGAATCCTCGCTTTCACTGTTGTCAGCTTCAGCCTCCTTGCAGTCCTGTTGCTCATCCTTGACTTCTGGGTAGAGATAAGAGAAAGACTGAGCATTCTTGTGGAGAACATAGGACACTAGCAAAGGACCTTGCCACTCCTGTGGTAGGGTAGTTAGCATGAAAAAGTTTGAAATTGTGCCTGCCCTACTCTGACATAGTGACTACAGTAAAAGATTGGATTTTTAAAAAATTAATTGGGGGGGCACTAATTTGTTCCATGTATTTACGCATTCACTGGTTGTGCCCTTACTGGGGATTGAATCTGCAACCTTAGTATATGGGGATGACACTAACCAACAGAGCTACCTGGCTAGGGCAGAACTGGATTTTAAGATGGGTCAAATCAATTTGGAAATCTTTAATTACTTATCTCTCACTTCCAACAATCTTTCTGGTAAACACTTTCTGTGAAACCTCAGAGCAGAGACCTTACACTGTATGTTAATACCATCAGGGCAGTCTTGCTATGACATGTATGATTAACGTCTATCATCCCCTAAAAAGACTGTAAGGTTCTTGGAGAGCAGAGAATTTGATTTGTTTACTGCTGAATCATAGGATCTCAAATAATGTTTGGTGCTGAATAAATAGTTGGCAAATTAGCCCTGGCCAGTTTGGCTCAGCGGTTAAAGCGTCGGCCTGAGGTACAGAGAGACCCGGGTTCGGTTCCCGCTGAGGGCACATACTTCGGTTGCAGTTTGTCCCCGGCCCTGGTTGGTCGTGCGGGTGGCAGCCACTCGATGTGTCCCTTCACGTCGATGTTTCTCTCTCTCTCTCCCTTCCTCTCTCTCCCTCCCACTGTATCTGTACAAAAAATGGAAAAATATCCTCAGGGTGAGGATTAAAAAAAAAAAAATAGTTGGCAAATTAATGAGTGGGTGAAAAAATACAAGGAAGACTGGGGTCATGAAACCTGATTGACAGCTTATCAAGTACTTAAGCATTATAAAGAATACCAGCCCTGGCCAGTGGTTAGAGCGCCGACACCTGTG